CATTCCGAAGATTTTGCAGTCGTATGTCCGTGCCTAAGATCATGATTTCAGACAATGCTTCGACTTATATGGCAGCAGCTAACCACATCAAACGCCTGTTTAAGTCTGATTCCCTGCAATCAATAATTAGTCACAAGGGTACACAGTGGCAGTTTATTCCTAAACGTTCACCATGGCATGGCGGTTGGTGGGAAAGACTTGTTGGCCTGACAAAACAACATTGAAAAAGATTCTTAGACGGACACACATAAGCTATGAAACTTTACAAACAGTTGTGACGGAAGTAGAAGCCGTGATGAATGACAGACCACTAACGTACGTCTCTTCCGATTCTTCTGATGCTGAACCACTTACACCAGCCCACCTACTTTACGGCCGAAGATTAACGACATACCAAGACGTTACCGATACACAAATTAATAACTCCAGTTTAAGTGATATCATGTGTATTTACAAGAGCCAGAGTTCAGAAATTACTGATTGACCGGTTCAGGGAGAAATGGAGAGATATCTCACTGCCTTACGTGAACACCACCAGACGACAGGAAACAATATTCAGACGATATCAGCTGGAGATGTAGCTCCAAAAACCGTGACGAAAAACCCCCCTTCTCAGTGGGAAAAAATCGCCGTAGTAGAGGAATGGCTTTAAAACGGCAGCCAAAAAAAAGAACCAAAAAATGGTATTAAAAAAAACAAGCCCATTTTGAAACTTTAATTTCCCTTGGAAAGTATTTAAATATAAATCTAAATTTAAAATTTTCCAAAATAACAAAATCTTTATCAGTGAAAAATTGACTTAAAGGGGCAAATGTGGGTTTTTTAAAGGGGGGGAAAAATGTTGAAAACTTTTAATTTAACAAAAATTTTTTAAAAGTTTTTCAACAAAATTGCCGGCCAAATTTAATTTTCATTTCGCGGCACCCGTGTCAAGATATGTACCCTTAAAACGGCTCTTATGCACGTGCCGTTTTAAAGCTATTTATACGTTTTAAAAAATTTTAAAAACGTCATATATGTTTACAGTTCTATGTCTATATATTACAATAAAGGTAAGAACCTGAAAGACGTATTCTTATACTACAATATTATGATTCTCGATAGATGTTTCATGCTAAATATCTTAGCTCTAGCTCTTTGGGTTTTTTGGAAGAAGATTTTTTAAGTTTTTACTATATACATGAAGGGAAAAACAATGATCCCCTGGGGCGGGGCCAATTTTGGCCCCAGGCCTTTTATTTCAACAAACTTGGTAGACACCCACTAGCTTAATATCTAAGCTCTAGCTATTTTGGTTTTTTAAAAGAGGATTTTTTAAGTTTTTACTATATACAAATAAGGAAAATCAATGACCCCTGGGGCGGGGCCAATTTTGACCCCATGCCTTTTATTTCAACAAACTTGGTAGACACCAATTAGAGGATGTTTCATGCTTAATATCTAAGCTCTAGCTATTTCGGTTTTTTAAAAGAAGATTTTTAAGTTTTTACTATATACAAAAGGAAAATAATTTTTTTTTCACTATATACAAATAAGGAAAATCAATGACCCCCGGGCAGGGCCAATTTTGACCCCAGGGCATTTATTTGAACAAACTTTGTAGACACTGACTAGATGATGTTTCATGCCAAATATTTAAGCTGTAGCTCTTTCGGTTTTCTAAAAGAAGATATTTTAAGTTTTTTCTTTTGGTTGCCATGGCAACCAGAGTTCTGCTTGGAATTAAATTCTTTGATTTCATGAATTCATGTCATCATCATGTTATACAGATGCTTCCTGTTTTTACTATTGAAAAACCATCTGTCAATGCAAAGTTGTAAAATTATTTTAACATATAGATGCATGTGAATATAAACTGGTTAAAGAGATATCTCCTAACATAAACTGGTTAAAGAGATATCTCCTAATATAAACTGGTTAAAGAGATATCTCCTACACATAGATTATCCGAACACTTGGTCTGTTTTTAAACATTTTTTCCAAACAAATATGTACCTGGTCACCTAGTAATATAAGAGAAATGCAAACTGTGATAAATGATGAACTTTTAATGAGTTTATAATGACCTCAACTTTTTATAGAACTGCCTCAAAACATTCTTACTACCAAACTACCAGAAGGTAGTAAAATTTGCATTGAAAACAGGCCACTAAAACATATAAATGAGCCACGCCATGACAAAACCAACATAATGTGTTTGCGCCCAGCATGGATCCAGACCAGCCTGCGCATCTGTGCAGTCTAATCAGGATCCATGCTGTTCTCTTACAAAGCCTATGACAAGTAGAGAAACTGATAGCGAACAGCATGGATTTGATCAGACTGTGCGGCTGCGCAGGCTGGTCTGGATTCATGCTGGTCGCAAAACGCATTATGTTGGTTTTGTCATGGCGCGGTCTCAAATGTAAACATAATTGATTGAAGCTAATTTTTCAACTTATTTCTACTTAAACAAAGATTGCATTTGAGAAAAATGCTATGCCACCGCATTAATACAACACTAAATAGTAGTGTAGGAACAGATTTTTTTTGTTTCTATTCAATTTTGTAGATTGTCATAATGCATAGATCCCTGACGACCTATCTAATTCTTATCAGATTAGTGGTTAAATCTGTTGTTAACTCAATAAAAGATCAGAGTAGGAATATATCAATGCACTCAAGTCTAGTGAAATTTGGTGGTGAAAGTCATATTTCAAACAGCCTAAATTTCATGACTACATCAAAGGACAACACAGTAAGACACTTTGTCAAAATCTAGGTCAGCTGATATCAAAGTTCACTTTACACATCTTTAATCTGTGCACATGGTTCAAATTTCATAGCTGTACATCAAAGGACAAGAAAGTAGGTCACATCATCAAAATCTAGGTCACCTGATATCAAAATTCAATTTTACAACTAAAACTGTGCACATGGTCAAAATTTCATTGCTGTACATCAAAGGACAAGAAAGTAGGTCACTGTCCCCTTGGGGCAAGGCAAAATTTTGGACCCAAGGGTTTAATTCAAAAACAATCTTGATACAGGTCCACCAAACAACATTTCAAGTCAATTATCTAAGCTGTAGTTTTCTCCATTCAGAAAACATTTGTTTTTTATTTTCTGTTTTTTACTATGTGTACATAATGAGAATCACTGCCCCTGGGCACGGCCAATTTTAACACCAGGGGAAAAATTTTGAACAACTTTTGGTAGAGGACCTATAGATGATAATATATAATATAGCAAACATCAAAGCTCTATGCCTTGTACCTTCAGACAAAAAATATTTTTATTTTTTTTACTATATGTACATAATGAAAATTAATGACCCCCAGGGCAGAACCAATTTTGACCCCAGGGCTATAATTTGAACAATCTTGGTAAAGGTTCACTTCGCAAAGTCTCATGCCATATATTTAACCTCTAGCCTTTGTCAATTCAGAGAAGAGGATTTTTCAATTCTGAGAAGAGGATTTTTCAAGTTTTTACTTTATACATATAAGGAAAACTATCGCCTCTGGGCAGTTGCAATTTTAACACTAGGGGCATAATTAAAACAACTTTAGTAAAGGACCAATAGATAATACTATATACCAAATATCAAAGCTCTAAGCCTTGTACCTTAGACAAGAAGATTTTTTAATTTTTTACTATATGTACATAGTGAAAAATCAATGGACCCCTGGGGATGGGCCAATTTTGACCCCAGGGCTATAGTTTTTACAATCCTGCTAGAGGTTCACTACATAATGTTTCATGCAAAATATTTTAACTCTAGCCTTTGTAAATCTAGAGAAGATGATTTTTTTAAGTTTTACTATATACATATAAGGAAAGCCTATGGCCCCTGGGGCGGGGCTAATTTTGACACTAGAGGCAAAATTTGAACAACTTTGGTAGAGTACCTATAGATGATATCATTTAACAAATATTAAAGCTCTAAGCCTTGTACCTTCAGACAATAAGATTTTTTTTTTATTTACTATATGTATATATTGAAAATCAATTTACCCCGGGGCGGGGCAATTTTGACCCCAGGGCTATAATTTTGAACAATCTTGCTAGAAGTTCACTTCACAATGTTTTCATGCCAAATATCTAACCTCTAGCATTTGTCAATTGCTAGAAGAAATTGTTTTAAAGTTTTACTATAAGTTTTTACTATATACATTTTTAGGAAAACCAATGACCTCCGGGGCGGGGCCGATTTTTGATCCCAGGCCTATAATTTGAACAATCTGGGTAGAGGTCTACCAGACAATGCCTTATGCAAAAATATCTAAGCTCTAGGCTTTTTGAGTCTTTACAAGAAGGTATTTTAAGTTTTTTACTATATGTACATATAGTGAAAATCAAAGACCCCCGGGGCGGGGCTGATTTTGACCCAGGGCTATAATTTTGAACAATCTTGGTAAGGGTCTACCAGACAATGCCTTATGCAAAATATCTAAGCTCTAGGCTTTTGGTTTTTACAAGAAGGTATTTTAAGTTTTTACTATATCTATTATATAGTGAAAATCAATGACCCCCAGGGGGGGCGGATTTTGACCCCAGGGCTATAATTTGAACAACTCTTGGTAGAGGTCTACCAGACAATGCCTTATGCAAAATATCTAAGCTCTAGGCCTTTTGGGTCTTTTACAAGAAAGATTTTTTTAATTTATTCTTATAATTCCTTTTGGTTGCCATGGCAACCAGATTTCTGCATGAATGAATGAAATTCTTTGAACAACTTTGGAAGCGCTTCACCCAAGGATCAATCCTGCCAAGTTTTGGTTGAAATGGACTAGTGGTTTTTTCACAAGAAGATTTTTTAAGTTCACTATATAATCTATATAACACACACACACACAAACAAACAAACAAACAAACACACACACACACGCACACACACACAGGTGAATCGCTATATGCCACCGCATCGCAGATGCTGCGGTGGCATAAAAAGTACAAGTGTTTATCTCCTGTTATGGTACATAACAAACATGTTTTGGATTGAAAAATAATGCATAAAGTGCTTTTTTGTTGTAACTTTAGTAATAGTTCCAATCATCATTTCTAAATGCCTAGGAAGAAAATTCTGTTGTTGTTTTTTTTATTTATTTATCGTACACTGATTATAAACATGTTGATTTCATTGTTATGGTGCCTCTGTTTAAATGATAGATAATAATGTAAAGCCGATAATAGATCACCCCTTTCCCTTTAATAAGTTATTCATCATAAATAATCAATTTAAAAATAACACACTCAATCTCACTATTATTCATATTAAATGTCAATAGGATTGCATATTTACTTCAGTTGAAATATCACCTGGAAGAAATTTACCAGACAAAATCTTGTTGCAATAAAACAGAACAAAAGTAAAACATTCACCAACAATCATAAATAATTTTGCACTAATATTAAATTTAAACATATCATCATATCAGAAAAGAAATATCAGCATTTTTGTTACTTGAGCCCTTTGACACATTATAAACTAGCATTTACTTAGAATGACTTATTTAATTTTAAACAATCCATGCTGGATTATTCTTCTCAACACACAACTTAATGTCTATACGATGTAACAATACCTTAACTTCATATGAATATATATAGTATAGTCTCTGACAAGGGTGTGATTGCTTGAATTGTTCAATGATTTAACAATATCTAGCTATGCCCTGGTGCCTAAATAATGTACAACTCAAGCATGTCTCAAGGAGAGTTTGATCCCACTTTGATGCATGTCACATCTAACTTGACGATTCTGAGAGTTAAGGAATACCATGACGTGATAAATGTGACTTTTTCCCCTTCATGCATAGCAGAGTTACTCCCCTTTTGAAGTAAAATAACCATTTGCATTTTCATCATGAAAAGTGGAAGCCCTCAGAGTTGAAACAGTTTAAGAGTCTGGAAACAAAACAAGAACATGTTTTTATTTTTGACACAAAAGAAATGATAATATTTATATATACAGATAATTATGCTTCATTCATTTTGACTATCTAAGGTTTCTATGACATTTCAATGACTGGACAATTGATTTATTGTTTTCTCTCTTTTTTTCAAGTGAATTTGCAGACAAAAATATCAAATACATTGTACCTGATAACAATAGTTCACAGATTAATGTTTTAAATGGCCATAAAATATTAAAACCTCTGAATTGGTTTTAATGTTACAGAAACTTAAATTTTATGGTTAATTCCTACTTTATTATCAACATACCCTAAAAAGTCATCTATATCCATAGTTCTAGCTCGTTTTAATTCATATCCACTTTTTTCTAGCATATCTGTTATTTTGGCTTTGACATCAAAATCTGGCGGTACAGGCTAAAAAAATGCACAACAAAAACAAATGAAAGTTTCACAGTAAAACGTATTTATGACAAAATTTGTTTATTTGTTTTAAATGGGATGACCTAAGATGCACATAAATTGTATCTGAAAATAATGACATTAAAAACGCCTTTTCCAATTGGAAACTGTCAATTCAATAATTGGTTGTTTGTCAGTTTTATTAGATTGATGGCCATGTTGTTCAAACCCTGTCAGGGGCAAGGCGTTGTGTCCTTGAGCAAGAAACTTTACATTCTTTGCTTAGTACTGGTTGGTTACAGGAATGCATTTGTTTTACAATATGCGTATAGCTTTTTACACATGCAAACTAAGATAAATTGTGTATAAACCAAACATTCATATACTTACAATACTTTTCAATGAACAGTGAACTTTGTAATTTTTCTCTAGCAGTTCTAACACCTTTGTAAACCTGCAATTAAATAAACAAACCATTTACATGTAGTGTTCAACTTCAAATGCTAAAAGGTTAGTATACACAAACTAATCTGTCTAAAATAATCAATTCAGATTGTTGACATTTCTTTAAAGGGACTCCACTGAGGTTTTTTGACATGATGGGACTGGAAATATTTTTTCCAGATAAATGTACCATTTGATGTAGGTTTAGACCACTAATCTTTGTGCAAAATTTCAGATCATTCGCGCACTTTTTCCAGAATAATTATTCAAATTGTAAAAAAATGACCCAAAATGAAAAGCGTTTAAACTGGTAAGGTAACTGGTTTTTAAGGCATGGCAGCAGAGCTAAGTGATTTACACTTCTTTCTTAATATACAAAGTCTCACAACACATGATGCAAATCTTCTTCAATTATTTTTGTGCTGACAAAAAGAATTCAAGAAAACAGATATGCTGTAATTATTTCCTCAACATCTCATCTCTTCTGCAAAACAGAATGACTATGCAAGACTAAGCGTTTAAACGCTTTTCACTCAAATCAGGCTAAGGAAAGCATAAAAATACTATTTTCAATTAATTTCAAAATATATTTCTAAACTATATTTGCATATATTTCTGTTTGAAGTGCCTCAGCTTATTTATGTAAGAAATTCAAATGTTATGTTTTTAGGCTTTTTTAACATCAGTGGAGTCCCTTTAATATCTATATAAAGCAAGGAAAGGTAACTGGTTTTTAAGGCATGGCAGCAGAGCTAAGTGATTTAAGCATCAGACTAGTAATCTAGGGATTCCCACTGCGAGGTTAAAATAATGTTCACAAACTCATCACATTGATCATTACCTAAATGAAGCACCAATGGTTTTATTCTTTCTTGAAAAACATATCCTGACAAGACCATCCCATTCCTACAAAACAAATTAAAATAAAACATGTATTATACAAAACTTTTTTTTTTCAAATAAGTGTTTAAAATAAAGATTTACACTTCTTTCTTAATATACAAAGTCTCACAACACATGATGCAAATCTTCTTCAATTATTTTTGTGCTGACAAAAAGAATTCAAGAAAACAGATATGCTGTAATTATTTCCTCAACATCTCATCTCTTCTGCAAAACAGAATGACTATGCAAAAAAATGAAGTTTTCCATAGAAATTAAGCATAAAAAAAATTGGTTGAATAAGATGAATAGTAACTATTATCCATTTTCATTTCTATCATTTTGGACTAATATTGATAAATATGAGGACTAATATTGAAACTTTTGAGGACCAATATTGAAACTTATGAGGACCAATATTGAAACTTATGAGGACCAATATTGAAATTTATGAGGACCAATATTGAAACTTATGAGGACTAATATTGAAACTTATGAGGGACTTATATTGAAACTTATGACGACTAATATTGAAACTTATGACGACTAATATTGAAATTTATGAGGACTAATATTGAAATTTATGAGGACTAATATTGAAATTTATGAGGACTAATATTCAAACTTATGAGGACTAATATTGTAATTTAAGAAAAATGAACCAGTTCTATTTTCAAAATATTTTTAAGAAATTCCACAAAATGATAACCATATCTTACCTGAAAGTTGATAGGAGGTGGTGGATTTCTAGGTTCTATTCTAACAACACTAGATTCTACTTTAGGAGGTGGCCTAAAGTTATTCTTTCCAACCTGTCAAAGTACATTTGTAAATTACTTTATTCTATACATTCAGGTATTTTACAAACGATCTTGGAATATGCACCAAAACTTGTTATCCTGTAGGTAGTTGTCAATAAACTTATTACAGATATCTCAACAGTGGAGAACAAAGACATAATCACATAATAACATAAGCTAAGACTTTCTTACAACTAAGACTTTGTCTAGTAAACAAATAATAACCCCCAAAGATATAACTAAACATACCTTCATTAAATGATCCACTCTTGCCAGGAGTTGTGTGTTGACAGACAATCTACAGTAAAGTTTATCCCCTGGTTTTGCTACAAGTCTCTGGGCAAACTCTCTTTGAAACATCAGAACTGCACATCTACAGTGGAGTGAAAAAAAATACTGTCAACAATATCATAGAAGGGTTTCAAGACATAACAACATTAACAAACTAAACAAAGCTGTGTTTTATACACTTTGCAAGTATAGGAATATCCCTTATGCTTTTATGTTCAATATTCCTGGGCGCATGTGTAGAATCAACAATCTTCATTAGGTTACCCTTTGAGTTTCCTTGCTGAAAAGAAACCAGCGTCCCTGCTACAAGTTTTCAAAGATAACCACTTTAACAAATCAGTCAAAAAAGGTCCAACTTTTACAATTTCCTGTATATTGTTTAGTAATTACAACGCTCAAACATTCTGATGCTGTTCAGTACATGACAGAAACAGGTCAATATTAAATGATTATTACTTATTTAAACATAATAATACACTAAATAGTGTTTGATGTGTTGCTCATTTATTAATTCATATACATCTGAAAATGCAAGATAAGGCCTATTACTCTCACTCCAACAACTATACATAAATTACATATAAAAGAAGGAAAATTAATGCTAAAATTAATGGAGGACTTACCTAAAGAAAGGTCTGTGGAGAAGTAATTTAAATACAAAAGGAGAAGATATCTGAAATAATAAAATATATATTGATACACATACTTGTTAAATGTATACAAATGACAACAAAAAACTAAGATGTATTTTAAAAGTCTTGTTGAGTAAGCATAAAAGCAGTACAGAACATATTTGAAACTAGCATAATCAATGATCAATTCTTCAGAATTGAACACTAAATGCACTGTAACTTTCTGTTTTGATTCGCAACATATATATATAATCTATTTATTTTTTTGTAATACATATTTATTTTTTATCATTTTTTTTTTTGAAAGAGTAAAGTACTTTTAAGAATATGACTATGAACTTTGTCCACTATTTTATTGATAAGACATTTTAAGCAATTTCAAGCATTTTGCGAGCAATTGTAATTTTGACTTTCAATTACAGGGGTAGGATATGTTTTTTCAGGAGTGTACAACAACACAATGTCATATGAAAAATTTAAAATTCAACTTGTCTACCATGCTTTGTGTACGTATTTTTTTCATTGAAAAGAATCCAAGAAAAGTGCAGACTAGGTTTGACTAAGTCTGTCATTGAGAGACAATGTGAAAATGTAACAACCCTCATGTCCCACAGCACCAGCTTAAGCGACATTCAATCTTCAACACTAAATATACATGAAGGGATTAATGATCTCAAAGAGAAGCAAGTCCTAAGTGCTACTTACATTCAAAACATTAACTTATTTACATGTAAGTAAAATAATACTATAGTCTGTCCCATCAAATTTGAACATTCCATTTTTTATTTAATATAATAGTAAAATCATTTAAATTAATGTCATGTTAACCCTGACGTCAATATCTCTAGGCATGTTTTTCATTTTTTTCATAAAGTCACGAATGTTGTCAAAATGCTAAAATTATATTTTTTCCCGTTGACTTACGTTGTAACCTGACGTGACGTCCATTTCAAAATGGCGGCGCCCATATAGACGTCATTTAGGGTTCGTCTCACAATTAGCGTGAAATATACCCGGTAATTATAAAAAAATATTATCCTTATTCACTTACTGGTCAATAGCTAAAGGTTATCATTAAAATGAAAAATGACAACAAAGTTGGAGTCCAAAAGGCAATTTTACTAGCAAACCATTATTTAAAATAATCAAAATCATTTGAAGTGAAAATATCAGTAAGGTTTATAAATTCTAACCCAAAAGATTTAATTAGTTACCATGATATAATGTCGTATTTCATATTTTTTTAAGAAAGTGATTTGATTATAGCTTTTCAATCAAGTGCGTATCTTGAATACCGCAACGCGTCGTAGGGGAGCGGGAATACCAGCTAGAAGACTATAACAAGAGCACCGCTAGGCGGAGCATTATATGCCCGAAAGTGTTTTTTTTTTAGTAAGGCTGAATCATTTGTAAGACATGGGAATTCGCTGTTCATCCTATAAAATTTTACAGCTGTAGGTTGATTAATACTTATAGTTATTAATAATGACCTATACCTTTGACCTTGTGACCCCAAAATCAAAAGGGGTCTTCTACCTTATATGGACAATCATCCTAAGAAGTTTGAATATTGTGGGCCAATTGGAACTTTATTTATGCTCTAGAAACTGTTTTCAGTATTCAGGTAAAAGTGACTTTGACCCTTGACCTTGTGACCCCAAAATCAATAGGGGTCTTCTACCCATATGGACAATCATCCTATGAAGTTTGAATATTGTGGGCCAAATGGAACTTACATTATGCTCCGGAAATTGTTTTTGGTTTTAAGGTAAATGTGACCTTGACCTTTGACCTAGTGACCCCAAAATAAATAGGGGTCTTTTGCCTAATATGGACAATCATCCTATGAAGTTTGAATATTGTGGGCCAAATGGAACTTAAGTTATGCTCCAGAAACTGTTTTCAGTTTTAAGGATATAGTGACCTTGATCCTTGACCTTTTGACCAAAAAAATCAATAGGGGTCTTCTACCCAATATGGACAATCATCCTATGAAGTTTGAACACTGTGGGTCAAATGGAACTTAAGTTATGCTCCGGGAAACTGTTTCCAGTATCAAGGTTATAGTGACCTTGACCTTTGACCTTGTGACCTCAAAATCAATAGGGGTCTTCTAGCAAATATGGACAATCATCCTATGAAGTTTGAACATTGTGGGTCAATTGGAACTTAAGTTATGCTCTAGAAACTGTTTTCAGTATCAAGGTAATAGTGACCTTGACCTTTGACCTTGTGACCCCAAAATCAATAGGGGTCCTTCTACCCAATATGGACAATCATCCTATGAAGTTTTGAACATTGTGGGTCGAATGAAACTTAAGTTATGTTCCCCGAAACTGTTTTCACTTTTAAGGTCATATAGCGACCTTGACCTTTGACCTAGTGACCCCAAAATCAATAGGGGTCTTCTACCTAATATGGACAATTATCCTATGAAGTTTGAACATTGTGGATCAATTGGAACTTAAGTTATGCTCCGGAAGCTGTTTTCAGTTTTAAGGTCATAGTGACCTTGACCTTTGACCCCAAAATCAATAGGGGTCTTCTACCTAATATGGACAATCATCCTATGAAGTTTGAACATTGTGGGTCAAATGGAACTTAAGTTATGCTCCGGAAACCAAATTGCTAACGGACGGACGGACGGACGGACGTACGGACGGACGGACAGACAGACGGACGCCAGGGGGTATAACATAATATGCCCTTTCGGGCATATAAAAATGGTTCTTCGCTAATCAATGTTTAATTTAAATAATTCTGTAGTTGTCTGAATTCTGTCCATTAGTGTGCATCACGTCTATTCAAAAATTAATAAATTGACCACGTTCGATGGGATACAAAAATATGTTACCCTTCTTATTTCGAGTGCGATGTTCGTGCGCTAAAACTTTCCGTAGGTTTCAACTTTCACAAGAAAACGCCAACAAATACAACATTATCATGCAAATCTGACAAAAAAATATTAAGAAAACTGATTCACAATACGTTCAGCATTGGTTTGCTTGTTACCACAGTGTCTACTTTAACTAACTCCGTCGCTAACGGGAGAACACAGACTCGCGTTCGGGGAAAATGTAAATTATAAGAATATAATATCATGCTTTCTAGTTTAAGCAATCAAACGTAGGCCTATTCACTTTAAGCTCGTAAATACATGTTTAACTTTCCGTCTCGCAATTCAACAAAATGTCCAGAAATACCGGCAGTGATTTGATATTATTAAGAGAAAGTTTGAATTGGAGTGTTCAATAAGCGACAATAAGTGTTTTTTTTGTAGACACAAAATGTTACATGTATATGTTAGTCTTCATCTGTGCTGTTATACAGAAATTAGAAACTTCGACAGGAGCTATAGCGACAGGAGAATGTTTTCTAATTTCTATAGAACAGCTAAAGATGAACACTAACATATTTAGTGTCAAGCTTTATTTGGCCCTTGATTACGTCACTACGCGGTACTATGAAGCACTATGAAAAATAGAAGGCGACTATGAACGGATTTCAATATAGTATCGACTTTTTTTCTTCTATGAAAATTAACACACATAATTTTTAAGAAATACAGCGTTTTCATTGGATGACAAATAAAGCTGGACACTAAATAATTATTTTGTTTATATGAAGGGTAGATCGAGTCAAAGAGAAACATCGAGTGACGTTCTCAATAATTTTAGCCTTCCTAAAATTTGAAAATATTCAGTGTTTTACAAAAACAATAGATCTAAAATCTAGCATATTTTTCGCAGGAGAAAAATACCACGTATTGTATATTTTGTAGCTAAAAGAGTAAGATTTACAGAAGTCTTGAATAACGATAAATATGTAGGGAAACTATTTCTGAGAAATATAAAAAATGTTCAAAAACATAAAATCAAAACGAATTTTATATGTAGTTAATGAAAGAAGTATTGTACTGTTGAAGATTCATGTCATTTTAAGTGTGTTTAAAATTATTTTTAAATGTTAGAAATCTATCAAAAGTTTTATATTATTAATATATGAATTGAACATGGAATTTGCAAAATCTGGGTTTACAAAAATTATTTTAAATGCCATCAAGACAAATTTATCTCAACGCTTAAAATTATCTGTTTGAGGTTACATATGCCTAACCGCCCTCTGTCAATGCCGCAACTGTAATCATCCATAAAAAGCGCGAGGCATTTTTGTTACGTCATATATTTCGTCAATTGTTGTTGACGTAATAAAGTTTTTTTTCGTCAGGAATCCATAAGCATTGTGATGTAGACAACTAAAATTTATGGGCCGTTCTTGAATTATGGATTTGGAACATGATGAATTATGATGTGTTTCATTTACATATTTCATTTGCTAACCCAGATAACTCCACAAATTGAAGAATGTTTTAATAATGAGACGGATTATCAGTTTAAAAAATCTGGATCATCAAAAGTGTAGGAGTCATGACTCATGTCATTAAGGATTTTTGAAGTCAAAAAGTGGGATCTACGGAACTGGATAGAAAATGGCAATGAAGGAATCTTCATATGCGAATTTGTCGTGACAAACCGTCGTTTATAAAGTTCATCGGATTCTATTAAGCTTAAAAGTAAGTGCAATTTCTAGATCTACTCCATGTGACTCGGTGTTCTTGTTGCTTATTTTTCATTTTTTAAAGTTTTCCATCATGCATTGCAACTAAACTGTTACATCTTGTAGATCCAGCTTTGTAAAATAATCATGAAACGACCCCGAGAACCTCATGTATATATTAGAAACATGACACGTGCTTTCTCCCGTTCATCTTCAAATGAAGAGTACTTCGGCAATGGCTACGGAAAATAAACAAAAGAGATTTTCCATAGAGAAATCAAAATTTGCTTTCACAAGAAAAGTAGACACTTTAGAGTAAAATCCTGAAAAATCTCGAGGGTGACTTTTTTTGAGTTTACAAAAATGTTTTACTTTTTATTCAAAGTCGTTTTGCTAATTCATACCAGGCAAAAGTTCATTTCCATTTTTAATGGGACAGACTATAGTATCAAATAATTGAAAATATCAAAGAGAAGGGGTGGCATACTGGTTAAGGTGTCTGCCTCTCAACCCAGGAATCATTGGTTCAAGCCCTAATCTGGTCACAACAATGTTTCTTCATATGACACCAGAACTGGTTGGTGGTTCCATGAAAAGGACTCGAAAGTGATCAATATAAGTTGCAAGAGATTGTTTCGCATCAAGCTTAAATAAACATGTTTAAACCAGAATGTCTACCTGGTATGGAAGATTCGCCACACATACATCAAAGAATGGTAGATCTGTTTTTAGCACATCACCAACTAGAACATGTAACTTGGTCTGATATGGCCTGTAACAAATATACATAACTTATTTCAGAAACATGAGATGTAGATTATATGTAAATTATATTTTTCATGAAAATTAACAAATTAAATATTGCAATTTTATAATAACAACAAATAATTTTATTAAAGCTAGAATATCTCTCAAACACAAACAAAAAATATGGAAAAATACAATATTATTCTTTTTGTAAGCAAACACAATGTAAATTCAAAGGTTGGAATTTAACTGTAATTATTACAAACAATTATATATCATCATATAAATCACAACAGAATATAAAAACTTGCTTTAACATAGTCTGTTAGTGCTAGAAATTTCAGAGTAACTGTAAGCTATTGAAAGTCTTCAGATTACTGAATCAATTCTTTTTTGTATTATGTTTTCTATGCCACATCAAAGTTCTTTTCTGTGGTTGTGTTTTACATCTCACCAACACATTTAAGGTCATATGGCAACTTTTCAGCTTTTTTGGTGAAGGAAAACCTCAGGTGCCCTTCCATGCATTATTTCAAGCACAAATGGACATCTGGGAGAACCACTGACATTAAATAAGTTGCATGTAGCTGGTAACAATTAGCTTCCCTGACTAGACTGGAACCCACAGCAGTGAGGGACAACTGGTTTGATATCGACAACCTTAACCATTCTGCCACGGACCCCCGGAAACTTTAATTCAAATGGTGCTACACTGGTGGAGGAAAACCTCAGTTCCCCTCCGTGCATTATTTCAGGCAAAATCCAATTTCAAATACCGAGCAACAGTCACATACACATTGGTTACCATGTTTGAAGTTAATTTACATGCAAAATCATAACAAATGCCAAATTTCAACTTACGTTCCCATCACTCTCTTCTGTAACTCAGCAACCAATCTGGGATCAATTTCACATGCATTTACCTAAAAAAATAATCTTTAGCGTAAAACATTCCTTTTCTCTAAAATGATCTATTGACTGGGCTCATCTAAATAACTTTGTAAGAATGAAAAAAAGTAAAACATCACATGATCTTAAAATACCCTTAGTTAAAATTTACATCAATGTTTTCATCCCCTTTATTGAATTACTACATGTATGAGTATAAGAAATTGAATTATAATTTATAATACTCAGCTGGAAACTACTCCTTAAAACAGATGTTTACAAAAGACAGCTCTTCCTTCACTGACCTGTATCATCTTAGGTCTATCAATAATTAAGAAATAAATTACATTACAATGATAAATAAAACAGATTTTACCTTTTTAACTTTTTCAAGAAGTTTCATGGTCATGTTTCCAGTACCAGGTCCAACCTCAAGAACCACATCAGTAGGACGTAATGCTGCCTGAAAAATACATTAAAACTTGAATAATTACATATTAATTAAATATGCAACAGATCAGAACTTCGGAAGCAGATGACATTTAATGCTTATTTTCTATATTCCTTGCACCCATCTCTTGCTACACATATTCAAAAAAAAAAAAATCATTTATTATCCCTTAGTTTGTTTATCTGCACTGTGTTTTGTTTTTTTCTTTTTTTTTATCTCTACTTTGGGAATGGTGCCGTTACCAGACTGATTCGGAAAAAATTGTGTAATTTTGGGAATTTTTACTATGCATTTTTCAGCTACAAATCATCCTGAATAAAGACAGCTAACGGGCTTCCACTGTCCAGGTATTGAGTGGTGATTTATATGAATATGTTGGATTTAAATGATTCCAGAGAAATCTCATGGCCTTGTGGGAATTCTGACCAGCCATTTTGGGAATTTAAACATTGGAAATTGGGAATTTTAATGTCTATTTTCTATTGGGAACAGTGCCTTTTTAGGTTAGTAGTTATATAAAGGAAAAAAACACTGTCTGCAGATACAAGAACTTAACCCTCCTCCCAGTTGTGAGTTTTGAATTACATATTTCAATATCAAATATACAAATTTGAACAACAAATGTACCAACACAATAGGGCTTGTTCAGACTGCAAGGATGTGCAGTCTGGCCTGGCTCTATAAAGGCAAGTTTCTATAATGGTTATTTAATAAATTATCTTCTTCAATTTATATAGAGCTGGGTGTTTTTTTAAACTTGAATTTTTGCCTTGAAATATAACAAAAAGTTCAATTTTAACAGAATACACATTAGTTTACTTTTTAGATATAAATGGAATTTTAATAAGGAAGGAAACATATAGCATATCTATCATTCGATTTTGGTTTTTACTTATATTCATGTTACGGTTTAAAAATGTTTACTAATTAGGGAAGAAGATGTGTAAGCGGCCGGATAGCTTAGTTGGTAGAGCTGCGGAACCGTATCCCAAAGGTCCCAGGTTTAAGTCCCGGTCAGGCTGAACATTTTTCTCAACCTGTGACATTTGGCGCCCAATGTGGGGCCGTGACTAAATATAGCTCAAAGTTTAATTCACATTGCTCTGTAACTCTGTAAAATTCAAGAACAAATTTCAATATAGCAGGGGAGTATGTCACGGTTCAAAACTGTTCACTAATTAGGGAAGAAGATGTGTAAGCGCCATAGCTCAGTCAGTAGAGCTGCGGAATGGTATTCCAAAGGTCCCGGGTTCAAGTCCCGGTCAGGCTGCACATTTTTCTCACCCTGTAACATTCACAAATAATAATAAATGCAGTTTACCTTCTCTACCATGCTATTCACCACAAGAGGATTCTTCAAAATATGCTGACCAAAGTCTTTGTTAAAGTTGATACCTGTAAAACAATCATATAATTATACCACAGACCTATTACCCAAAAGGATGTAAAAATGCTTGCTTAGTCAATGGGCTCAGTCAGTGAACCTAAATGACTCTTAAGACATGCAAGTAGATTCTGTTATATCATCTTAATGATAGCCAATGGTCAGTTTAAATATCACCAGAACGCCATTGAATATAGTATTACATTAGTTTTATTCTAACTATGAAAGCATATGTTTACATGTTTGAAGTCCTCCAGATTAATACGCTGATGTTTATATATATGCCTCAAGTCAAAATTCTTTCTAAATATGCGACATTGATATTAAAAAATAATTTTAACAAATTAAAGATATATATATATCTATATAGTATATATTCTAATTCACATTCGGATTTCCTCACAAGTGAGTATCTGAGTCTTGTTGTTCATTACATAATGACAGTCTTAGTGTATTTACATGACAATTATGCCAGTTGTAGCCTCTATGCATCACTTTACCTGTTTAAATGTGTTGTGTTTGACAACTTGACTTTATCCAGCGAGATCATCCCAAGATCAGCAATCTCTTGTTACTAAACCCCCTCAAGGTCTGACACCAAATAATCATTTTCCCGGATGAGAGTATAAAATTTTTGTCACGGTTCATAAATGTTCACTATTAAGCCTTAGAGGGGAGAAGATGTGGTAGGCGGGCGCATAATCTCAGTAAGTAGAGCCATGGTACAGTATTTGGAGGGTCCTGGATTTGAGTCCGGGCCGGGCTGCACATTTTTCTCACAATGTGACATTTGGCACCCAATGTTGGGCCATGATTGCAGGTAGCTCAGAGTTTAATTTACATAGATCTGTGAAATTCGAGGACGAATCTAAATATAGCTGGGGAGTATGACAAGGGTCAGAACCGTTCACTATTCAAGGGAGAAGATTAGTCCAATAGATTAGACGTTACAGGCTTGTTATAGTTTTATGTTGGTCAAGCCTGACGTCTAATAGTTATTGGTCAAAAACGCGTAGCATTTTGAAAAATTAAAAAAATGTCTGTTGACTTGCCTTTTTAGCTTTATTCAAAAGCTTATCTTCTGTTCTTTCAATTGCATGGTCTATCATTAACAAAAAGTTTCAAACAATGTACTTATTAATTAAAAATAAAATATGAATATCAATCTATTTCGCTCATCGGCCATACTGGTTTGATAAAGCGTTTTACAGATTGATTCCAATTTTTTGAACGGAAAAATATTTTCGACCACACTGACGGTGCATGGGCAATTATTTCGTTGAAAAAATATTCCGTTAGAAACTTCTGGAGTCATTTAAACGCTTGCATTGAATTAGCCAATCAGATTTCGCGCACTGTATGGCGGCCATTTGTATATCTGCTGTACATGGAATTTAATTAAATGAGAGGATTTAATCATGACTTTTCGGGTGTGACAGTTCAATTATTTTGTTGAAAGGTATTTAATTTTTAGTTTTGTTCATAAATAGTTCAAAATTTATGTAAATACACGCTGTTTTAATTGTTAAAATGCATTAGATCTAAATCGATGTCTAATGTCAATTTTTTTGCTACACGATTTTGCAAAGATCTGTTAAGACCTAACGTAACATGGAAAATGAAAAATGTAAAATATCAGATTAATGAATGATAAATATGAAATAGGTTACGTATAGGTCTTATAATTAGGACTAGGGAGAAGATGTGCAAGTGGCTGGATAGCTCAGTCGAATTATGGTGGTTTCGTAGAACTACCGGTTCGGCAATCTTAATTTATGAAGAGGTGCGAAAGTGTTTTTGTCGACCTTATGTTATATAGTAATTAAAAGCAAAGTAGACGTTTTAAGGAGAGTTTTTTCAGGTTGTACTTTTATATATATATATATTTATATTTCTATGATGTTGTTTGTTCACTGAGATATAAATTAAGTTCGCCGAAACCATTACCTGTTTTATTATATAAGATCAGTTCGCCGAACTGGTAGTTCGACGAAACCACTCTCACCCGCTCAGTCTGTAATTAAATTTAAGCTGTGTTACGGTATTCTGAGGGTCCCGGCTTCGAGTCCTGGTCAGGCTGCAAGTTTTGACAATTTGTTTCTTATAACTTTATCAAGACTATTTTTAACGAATTAAACGTTGGTGAGCATACCAATATCTAGTATTCCAGTAGTCTGACTCGGAGTATCATGAACTGATATTGATAAATTATATTCCATTCTGTTTGTTGACACAATAAATTATATTAGGAGATAGATAAATACCTTGTTTCTGAACTTCTGTATGCTGTCTGGACTTCTTTCTTACTCGTTCTTTCGGCATTTTTATGGTTAAAGATTAAATTTTCAATAAAATAATAGCTTTCACGTGTTCAATGTTTCACAACAAATTTTCAGTTTTGGACGCTTGTTTTTCAACTTAAAATCATTACTGCAAGCGCTTAAATGACAACTATAGTCATCGGGACGCTTTGATGTAAAATTACGAGCCTTCATTGACTCAGATGATAAATTCCACATCGAAAGAAATGAAATTATCAAAATATTGTCTTGTTTAAGAATGTAAAGATAATTTCATCTGAGGATAATAAATCAACTTTTTAAAAATGTTTTCCGACTTAATTTTGTTTGGGTAAGATCATTACTACTTTCCAAAGAAAAGAAATAACATGGTGTTGTCATGTAAATTCGCGATACAAAAATTGTCAAAATTGTATAGTTTATCGCCAGACGGTCCTAATACTCCTATACAGCTTAAATGCACTGATTTTCAGAGTAAATTTATTTGTTATATGAAAAAGGCAAAGCCTCAAAGGGAGCTCGATTTTCTTTTACCGTAAAATAGTTTAAAATAATCATTCATTTTTATTTTACATTTTCCGTTTTAAAATTGTCATTCGATATTTTATACAATGCTTCCCTTTATTCTGGTTCACCCTTTCTATTATGGTTCCTATATAAGTGTGCAGGATACCAGTCTACGCTTCCGTTTTCAATCAGAGTACATCGGTTTTTATCGTTATCTTGTAATTTGAAAAGTTGCGATGTGTCCAATACACTGATAAACACTTTCAGAACTAGCAGACGACAGGCTATTCTTATCAGTAGTAATTTCGAGTAAAGATGACGAGTTGCGTATCTCACTGTATAAATCGTATGTAAAATGGCCTGACATATGGTAGGTTTAACAGTTAATTTAAATACTTTGGAGTCAAAAGATGTGTTGAAGTTTATACTGTGATGAAGCTAAGATCCAAAGCTTTTTATTCAAATTATTGGTGTAATACATTTTAAAATCAGACATTTAATCACAACAAACTAGCAGTTTAAAAACGGCTTATTTTGTATTGTTTTAGCATAAGCGATATCGATTTTACTCGAAGATAAGGGAAGCAACTCGTATTTCTCACTGGATATACCTCGGTTATTTACGTAGATCATATTGAAAGTGTTTATGGGTGTATTCGGTACTTCGGACAAAAGTTTTCAAAACCATCACTTAGCAGGTACTCGCGTTACCGTAAAGCTCGCTTTGCGAGCAGGCCCTTCGGGCCAGCTCGTCGGGCTCGTTATTACAGTAACTGTTATTATATAAAAAAGACTGGCTCCAAGACATATTTCTCAGAAATTTGAGTGGCATCCATGCAAATCAACAAAAACAGTAAATCTATAAAATTAAATACATTACGCCTACCCAAGTGTAAATGGTAAGTGCATAGGTAAAAGTCAGTTTTGCCATAATTGTGTTCAATTTGATAATTTACTATGCTAAAATGATAAATAATGATAAATAATCCACATGACACAGAATTTCTATAAATACAGTTTATTGGAAATAATTATTACTAATTTAACTCTAATTGACAGTGAAAATATTAGCATAATGTCACTTTAATATGAAAGTGTTTTGAGATAATTTTCTTCTTGGCAAAGCAGCTTCATATCGCAAATGATCACCATAGCTGGTCGGCAAGTAAATCATGTGAGACCAAGTATAGATTAATTTTGAGCTGTTCATGAACAAAACTAAGAAAAGAAAAAAATGAAATTGTCTCATTGGAAATATCATGCTAAAATCCTTTTATTTAATTAAATTCCCTTTCCACCAGTTATACAATTGACAGTGGGCTAAATATGATCAGCTAATCAAATGCAAGTGTTTATATATACGAGTCGAAAATTTTAAACAAAATATCTTTTAACCAAATATTTGCTCCTGCAATGTCAAAAACTAACTTCTGTGATTACTTTTAACGTAGGAACTCTGGAACAGGATCAGATGAGTACCTAAAATATTTATCTATGGATCATGTTTTCATATTCCTTTTTTCAGTTAGGCAAAATCAGTTGGACCATATTACTAAAGTGTCTGTATTCTCAATGTTAACAAAAAAAAACAGTTGAAAACACTAATACGCCCATTACAATGCCGCCTATACATGTCAACACATGTAAACAATAAACCTTGAACATTATATCTGGAAGATACCTGATAGTTGACAAAAATAACGGGAACAAAATTCTGAAAAAATAGTAATCAATTGTAGCCGAAGGGGAAAAACTCATGCCGAACGTTGCGGCATATGGTGGATGTCACTCCTTGTCTATTTTTACAATACCGTTAAATTTTACCAGTTTTAAAAGAGACAGATTGGGTTCAATTGATAATATATTTTTTAGGCCATATATTCGGATAATACTAAAAGATATTTAGATGTAGCAGAAACATTTTTAAAAACCATTACACAATCGAAAATATCTGCAGCAATCTGCGGTCCCGTTATTGAATTCCTGTGACTTTTAATAAGGTAAATATGGCCAGTCCCGTCTAATTGGGTCTCTCTAGATAGGCAAATATAAGAGACTGACTATAAATACTGTAAAATTTAATTGTTACTGAAACAATTGAGATGACTGCTTTAGAACTGGAAAAGACAGATGAAAAAATATGTGTAACTGTTTGCCAGTCTCCAATATTCCCAGGTCTAGAGAGAGGAGACAATAATTTAGAGGGGTAATACATACATGTATGCAAAGGTTATGAATAAAGATGGTGGATTGAATAGTTGATAACCATTGAGAGAGAAATTTAAGCCTGTCATCAGTTCTTATTGAAAAATGAAATATACGGAATTTGTTTAAAAAAAACAACAGATATAATATCAAGTATTTAAGTTGGATGGTTCTACCTCACTTTGCTAGTTTTTGCTCCAAACAACTTCTAATTTGACATTGTCCAAGTACAGAAATGCAGTTTGTGTTTTGACTTGGAAAAAGACATCAGTTCATCCATCTAAAAATAAATCTTGCAGAGTTCTCAGTGACGCTGCTGATGCATGATCCAGCGTTGTGGTTGGCATGTTAATTGTTGCCAGACGCATAGATTTCAAAGCTGGGATTTTGGGTATGCAAAATTTTGCCCAATGAATATTGTCTTATAGCTTGAAATAAAGGGGTGTGTGGAGTGACAAGTCTAAATTAAATTATAATCTAATACAAATAGATTCATGGAAGTGGCTTACCATAAAGGCTCGTACAGGGATAGCTATTGGCAATGAAGGCAGAAATTCCAGCATTTTTCCACTTTTTGCTATTTTTAGAGATCGAAGAGAAAAAAAATCTGGAAACAAAGTGATCCCTCTGAAGCATTAATCACAACAAAAATTACATGAAAATTGCAGACTCGGTTAGATTGAGTCTGTACATGCGGGATAATGAATAAGTGCTACATCCCTCACGCCCCTAGCACCAGCTTGAGTGGTACTCAATTCTCAACACTTGATAGTGCTGGCATCAATGATCCCGAACGACCAGAAAAATATAACAACACTGAAGTCAATTTCACCAACATGTAATATGACTAAAGGTTTTCTTGTCAAATTCAGTTATTTCTTGTTTATTTTCAGGACGTTATTGGTGAATGCCTGTGCTGTTGTCAACTTTAAGCTGTAAGTTTTCACTTTATACAAATGTTCCTTAATTTTGAAAATATATACATAGTACAGTACAACTTTGATTTGTCAAAAATGAAGGAACTTGCATAAAATCTTTGACACATGGGGATGTTGATTTATGTATTGATCTCAATTTAACGAAAAGAATTTGAGCTGTATAATTATTCTACTTGAAATAACAAAGATTTGTCAAAATGTGAAGGTGTGAAATAAAGAGGTCATTTGACATTGTTGAGAATAATACTGAAGCTATTGGTCACATAAACATCTAAAAAAAACCTATGAAAGACTCATCTAGCATCTCAGTGCGAAAGCTGTGAACTCATCCAATAGAAGTTTTTAAATTCAGTATTGTACTCAACAATGTGTAATCACCTCATATTATTTAACTTCTTGTGAAAATTACATGTTGTAATAAAACATCATTTAAAAGGAGATGTTTCAATGTCGGCGTCTGCGTTGGTTAAAGTTTTTTGTAAAGTCAAATATCTCAATTATTACTTGAGATATTCAATTGAAACTTACAATACTTATTTATAGTAACAAGGTACATCAGATTGACAAGTTGGATAACTCTGCCTACAATATTGACAGAATTATGCCCCTTTTTAACTTAGAAATTTTGGTTAAAGTTTTTTGTAAAGTCAAATATCTCAATTATTGCTTGAGATATTCAATTGAAACTTACAATACTTATTTATAGTAACAAGGTATATCAGATTGACAAGTTGGATAACTCTGCCTACAATATTGACAGAATTATGCCCCTTTTTAACTTAGAAATTTTGGTTAAAGTTTTTTGTAAAGTCAAATATCTCAATTATTGCTTGAGATATTCAATTGAAACTTACAATACTTATTTATAGTAACAATGTACATCAGATTGACAAGTTGGATAACTCTGCCTACCATATTGACAGAATTATGCCCCTTTGGAACTTAGAAATTTTGGTTAAAGTTTTTTTGTAAAGTCAAATATCTCAATTATTGCTTGAGATAATCAATTGAAATTTAAAATACTTATTTATAGTAACAATGTACATCAGTTTGCAAAATTGCATAACTGTCTGCAATATTTGCAGAATTATTTGCCCCTTTGAAACTTAGAAATTTTGGTTAAAGGTTAACGGTCTTCAAAGATATTAACTTGAAACTTTACACATGCACTTAGGGTCATAATTGGAGGGTCATAATTGTATGGCACTGACCAAGTTCCATAACTCTATCTTGCATTAAGGCTGATTCATATCCCCTTTTCTACTTAGTCTCTTGGTTAATGTTTACATATCTCAATAACTATTAAAGATATTTATGTAAAACTTCACATATGCATTTAGGGTCATAATTGTAGGTCACTGACAAAGATCCATAATTCTATCTTGCATTTAGGCTGATTTTTCTCCCCTTTTTCAACTTAGAAATTCATGGTAAAGTTTTGCTTGTAAGCTGTTATCTCAATAACTACTGTAGGGTTTGTGCCTTTTTTGGGACAATTTTATGCATTCATAATAATAAAGTAGTGATTTACTTGATAAAACATCTTAATATCAAGCCTTTGTACCTTTTCTGTCAAATTTATGTATTCATAGGTAATTAGTATTATTATACTCAATAAAAACCTTGTGACATTACCTTCCGAATAGTCAAGCCAATTCTGTATAATTAGACTCTCTCTAAGGCCTATAACATGAATTTATAAAAAAAAATTAGCCCTTTTGTTAACTTAAAAAATTTAACAATATCAAGGCTCTTTTACTATCAAGCACTTAGAATAGTCGAGCATGCTGTCCTACAGACAGCTCTTGTTATATAATAGAATTTGACACCACTGATTTGAAATAGATGTAGAAGAACATAATAGATAATAAATTGTTCTAGCATGTAATAGTTCATTTAAGCTTTGCATGAATTGTTTATTTATAGGAAAAAGAAACAAACAGAAGCCTTTGATGCAGTGTTAGAACCTGGTGTTGGTAAGTACAATAAATAGTTTATTTAATATCTTTTGATTATCAAATACATGTACATTTTGTGTTTTGTGTCTCTTTTGCATATAATTTTGTTTTGTCTTTTGCATATCAAATGTCTTTTGTGTATTAAATGTCCATAAGGTTTTACATAGGTGAATTAATTGTCTTTTTATTCAGTGCCAATATTTTTTTTTTTTATATTATTGATGTTTTTTTATTGTAACATGTAACTCAAATGATGGTCATCTGAAGTTATCCAAGTCCAATTGTGCATTTTTGAGTTATGTCCCTTTTAAAACTTTAAAAGGAAATTATCTTAATTAAATGCTACTCATACACTGTTATAAGCAAAGCAATTGCAGTGTTATCTAGTATTTTAACCTGACTAACTTTGCACATATATAACTATATATGTTTTCTTTTTATGCAGGTGACAAGATAAGGGAGTTTCTACTCAGTTTGCGGTATTTTAGAGTCTTCATAGGCCTGTGGAATGTCTTCATCATGTTTTGCATGCTAGTGTAAGTTGTTTAAAGCAAACTTAGACAAATTTGTTTTGTTTATATCACACACACATTGTAAAGGTCACTATTTTAAGGTCATTTGTTGCCTTTCCAGCTCCACTGAATAAGGAAAACCTCAGTTACCCCTTTTTGTGAATTATTTCAACACAAGCGGGCACTTGAGTAGAACCACCTTTCTTCTGTAAGCTAGCTAAATAGCATCCTCACATGAAAAAATCCAAAGTCCCCTATGTGATTTGAATTCACATGGGCCTGGAGCCCACAATATTATGTAACAAATGCATTTTAGGTACATACATTTTAAAGTACATTTATTCATGCATGACAACTGTAAGAGTTTTGTTTGGTATGACAATGGGAATTAATTTAGAACATTCATGATTTAAAGATTTTGAAAATTAGGCAGTGAACATTTATTTTATTACACATGTATTAAGTTCCCAGTCTAAATAAACTTATTAAATAATTGATCAAGATCTATGAAATAGCCAAAATATGTTTTAAGATATTATGTGTTCAAGAAATTTATGATTCAGTTAATACATGTAATATAAAAAAAATATAATAAAATAAAAATGTGGCAGTAGAAATTATCTCTTTAACAAATAATTCAGTTTTGTTCATTAATAAATTAACATAAATTATTTCTTTCTTATTTCAGATTCTTTAGTCATTGATAATCATGTCTTCAGTCATTGACATTGGAAGATGAGTGTTGGGGAATTTCATCATTTTGCCATTAGACCATGGATGAGGAGAAACATTATAAACATTAATTTATTTTTGTACTAATTTATTTATTGCTCACAGAATCTGATTTTGGATTATAGAATCATGGGAAATAAATTAGATTTCTGGTTGTTAAAGTCAAGGTTTTATTTTAACTCTTAAACTGTTTATTATGATCATGAAATGCATTTGCCTGGCATGAATTAAATGTCTTACTGTTAATTTCAGGTATTAAATTTTGAAAATTTTATTACCTAAAATTAACCAGACAAATTACAAATAGTTTTGTCTGGAGTTTAAATATACTAGTACTATTATGTTGGCAGATTGAATTTCCTATTGGTAAAATGGGCAAGTCAGTATTATCACTACATGTAGTATACAGAGTGTGACATTGTGATCATTAATCTTTAACCTGCTAGCAGCAACTGATTCAACTCATAGAACCAGTGCAAAGATCAGCCGGCACATCCATGGCATTCTGATAATGGTGGTCCTGTTCTTTATTGAGTCTGTACTTATTTTTAAATTCTCTTCAAATATGATAAATGGTTTTGTCTAGATTGAAAGATGAGCAAGCCCAGTTAAGATATTTAGTGTTGTAAGGGTTAATTGTAAAAACAGATTCTTATGTGATTCTTTATTATTTTAAAATTGAAGCATTGGCTCCGCTCGTAAAACATGTAAAAGTTTTAGCTTTGCTATTCAAAGGATAATGTGGCTATCCCACTCATTTACATACCATCATCAGTGAAAATCATGTTAAAATTTTGCTTTCAACTTCATACATCTCAAGCTGTTTGCTTAAAACTTCACATGTTTGTTTAGGGTCTGTCAAGCTATTTGCTTAACACTTCACACGTTTATTTAGGGTCATACATATAGCTGTAGGGTACTGTCCTGAACTCTTTAGTGAAGTCATTCTAGAAAAATTCTTGGTTAAGGTTATGCATGCAAGATCATTCTCCACAAGGACTCAAAGTATTCTTTTGAAAGGTCATGTATAATTCTGTATAGGATTTTGTTTGAATTATTCTGAAATTAGAAAATTTGTACATTATTAAATTTTAGACTATTATTTAACTATCAATCATAAAATAGTGACATTATGCTCATTCTTTCACTGTCAAGTTGAGTTAAATAAGTACTATATTTAAAAACATTGGCTGTTTTAATGGTGATTGAGTAATAATTGATCATGCAAAATGTGTATGATGCACTCTAAAAAGACTGCCCCACTATTTTAAAGAATTGAGCATTATCAATACACTCTGCACAATATTTAAAGAAAATTTCAATTGGTCATGTGGATTATTCATGTTTTTCATAGTTAAATAGATTATGCCTGAACATCAAGTTATATTTAATTTTATCTGTTCACTGACCATCTACATTAGGATGGGCATACATGTATTGTCATATTTTTTTTTAAGAAAATTGTTAGACTGGCAACTATTGTTCCCAAATATTATTGTAGCTTTTTGTTGCTAATGTTAAGTTATTTATACGTTAGTTGTGATATTTTCTCCAGCTTAGTGATATATTTTTGTATACATATATGTTTTGTTGTGCTGTGAATACGCCATTGTTTTCTGGTAAAACTTGCCAGAAATAGCATGCCAAAATAGGAATTTCTTTTTAGAATATAGATAATCATGAATTTTCAGTAAGAGTATACTTTTAATGTATCATAAGTATTACTTTAGAAAAGAAAAAAAAACTAGTGAAAAAAAGAATTATTTTTCATTTAAGTAAAGAAATGATCATTTGCTTTCTTTATTTAATACTTTATGAGTCTAATGAGAAATTGAATCAATTTTTGTATTAATAAATAATTGAAAGATTGATGTGATTTCAATGCAGTTCATTGATAAAATATGCTTAAATGACTCAGTTGTTTAAACACTTGACTCATCTACCACCTCCTATCTGCCAGATAAAATAACCAGCATGGGTAAAACTAACAGAAACATCAATCTGACATAGGCTGTATCAAAGGTGTAACTGTATAAAATTTTATAAATTAGAACGATTAAAAACACATGTTGTTTACTTCATTGACACCTTAGCAGGAGATTTAAAATACTTTATAGAACCTTGGAAAGATGAAATCAATAATACTGCAGTTATATTTTTGTAAGAAGAAAATTATAGTTTGAATGTAAATTATGCATAATATAGTTTTCAGCAAAATTGATAAAAGCTGTTTACTTAATCTATAAGGTTATTTACTGAAGGTGATTTAAATTTTAGAAATCTTTGTATTAGACATGTTAGATACATGGTATTGATATAGAAAATAAAAGAGTTGTTTATGTTCATTGCAAAGACCTTGGAAAGTTTTTTTCTTCTCATTTTACCATTTTAAATCATTATTATCATTTGTAAATTTGTAAAATATTGGGTTTGTATATTTTAGTTAAAATTTAGCACACATTTACAATGTATGTAAAGAGATCAATTGTATTTGCAATTGAAAAGGTATGAAACATGACCATGAAAGAGTATTTTGTTTTGACACAAATTGTCACCTCTGAATTTTTGTTGAAATAACATATTTAAATAATTATGTAAGCAAGCTTGTGAAAATTTCAAGATTTTGTTCAGTCATCTTGCATAAGATGGAACAAAAATAATGAGAATATGATTTTATTGTGAAAAAGACAGTGACAAATATATGTACAAGTAATTAACACAGACAAAAGTTTGTACTATGGTGACAGAATACTGGAAAAGACATAAAATGAGGGGCTTTAAAAGACTTGGTCAATACAAGCCAAAAAGTAGTTTCTGCGCCCGTCCCCCCCCCCCATATCTCCCTACCTTCTTTTAAACTGCAGACCCTAGCCTTGTTTGTGATTTGTGTTTTGTTTGTTTTTTTGTGCACAATAATTATATATATTGTATAAAAGTGATAAACCTGTCAACCACCATTTTCAGGGGGTCTGAGGTCAGAAACAGATTTTTATGGGTTTTATCTTTATTTTGGTACACCTGGTCCAGACAAGTCATACTTAAACCCTCTTGATGTATATGTTTATGAACATGTTTAATTGTTTATACATAAGAAAGGAATTTTTGGAATGGAATGTATGTAATCTCAATTGTAAATATGATGGATGTTTGTTTTAAGTATACATTGCATATATAAAGAAAACTTGGAAGGAAAAATAAAGATGATTTTACAAATAAAGAATAAATTTCATTTCTTTGTTACTGTTTTTGTTTTATAACCACATTGATGACGAAATTTGAACCTTAATTCATACTCTGGGCTTTCAACGTTTAAATATGTGGCTCTTCTTTCTAGAGTTTCCGGCATACATGTAGCAAGAATAAATAACAACTAACGTTATTATATATATATATATATATATATATATATATATATATATATATATATATATATATATATATATATATATATATATATATATATATATATATATATATATATATATATACATCTCTACTGATTCGGTACGTGGGTCACTTGTGGAGAAAATGATAATTCCTGGAAAACTAGTATGGTCGCCGAGAAATGACCAAAAATGTATTAAATATCAGCCAGAGGTAGAAAACAAAAAATCGAGTAAAATGTACATATACATGTATAATTGAGCATGTTTAGCCTAGTCAACATTTTTGACGTGCCAAAGTTAGATTCTGAGATATTTAAGTTCTAGGTCAGAATTTGGCTTCTAGAGGGGAGATATTGCCAATATACAAAACGCGTAGTACTTTGAACTAGTTTTAGCCGGAATGTCTTGCGCTGTCACGTACCAAGAAGTTGGTGGTGTTGGTAGATTACCCTCCGGGTCACGCAGGAAAGCCATGTTGAATTTACCAGTGCACAGTTCAGCGACTGCATCGTTCCTGAGCAGGGTGTCAAGGTGTTCACTAAGTTGCAAGGAACTGATAACTTCTGTACAGGTAGAGCAGAAGTACAATTCAAATGACCGTAGAAAGTATTTCGTAACCAGTAATACAACGAAAGTGACCTGCACAGTCCAGTATCGGACCCGGGTCGCCCGATCTACAGTCCGGTGGCAGTTTAGCAGTAATTACCTTCGTATTTATAATATACTATGGATTTGGAGGTGTGGGCGAGTGACCGGTCCAGCCAATTTTAATAGCTTGTATGTTAATGGTTTTATTATTTTACCCGAATTTATATGTATGATACATGATCCGATATTACATTTATTCTTATAGCAGATGATAAATCGTTTCTATAGTTCTTTTCAATATTTGAATTTGTTAAAATGTAAAAAGTACCCATAACCATTATGTAAATTCACTGTAATCTCTCAACTAAAAAAAAGAAATTAAATAGAAAATAGAGAATATTGAGTGAGTGTACAGTAGATTTAATACTTAATTTATTGAACGAGTTGAATGAAATCATACTAATCATCAAAAATATACTGACCTACCTTATTAAAAAAAAGATGATACATGATTACAACATATAGTGTGTAATGTTTTTTTAAAAGTGAATTGATATTTTCTATTCTTTGGCAACTATACTGTTAAAGATACGTATTTTAAAGACTTTCTTTCGACCTTACCTAATTTATTTATTAGAAATATGAATTTCTTCTTTTTATTGAAATTCTACTTTGGTAAGCAGACGTCTCCTTCGGGTAAACCGCTTTATTTGTTCGACAGACATAGAGATGATACAATCATAAATTTTCAGCTATCATCGAAGAAAATATGCATATTTGTGATTTAAGGGTGTATAATATAACAGACAAAACTTTTAAGATCTTTTTATATATCATATATATCCTGTCAATTTAGATGCTAGAAAAAAAAGAGGATAAATATATATTATATGTGATCTATAGAATAAACGCCAAACTCCTTGATAAAGAGGGGGTTAACCCATCGAAACGTTGGAGGATGATTAATTTGTGAAATAGATAGTTATATGTATTTTTAAAGATATGTTCTATACAAAGCTAGGCTTTCTTCTCTTTAAGGCATATAAGGGGGTCAGTATACTCTTCCGTATCATACTATGCGAGACTCTGGCGAGCATAATATTGTGTTGTTGTTTTTTCAACAATATTGTTGTTGTTTTTTTCAACGAGTTTGATAAATTTTCCACTGTAACACTCCATATTATTTAACGTGTGACCAGCGTTATACTATAGGCGCGTCAAATTTTCACTCTTTATTTTGGGAATGAGATAAATAAAATATTAAATTCTCTTAAAGTTCAATACTTAATTTATTGAACTCATTATATAAAGTTATATGCTCACCAGAGGCTCGCGCATAATGTAATGTTATTCAACTCGTTCAATAAATCTAGTACCTATTGGTTTATGTGATAAATGAAATATAAAATAACGATGTGAAACCGTCACATGAATATATGAATATAACATCCATATCTGGTTTGTGCAGCAGATTGTTACACGCGGATCTATTTATATACCATAACCCAGGTAAAATACGTATCAGAGAACTTCTCAAGATCACGTGTGCTTAAAACGTACCTGCTTTAAGATGAACATGGGATTTATAATGGTGAATTAGTCAAGTTATAAATAAGGTAAGTTAAAGGACCATTTAAAAATGCATTGGGTTATTTATATATTTATTAAAACAGCTGCTGTTAGTTTTATATTGATTATAAAAATATCACATTTTTAAAACCGAAAGTAGAAATACAAATAATATTATCCGCCATATTTTGGCAGACTGCTGTTGCAGTGTTAACTGATTTTCTTTTCTTGTGCTTTGAGGGTTTATTTTTCTTTGCATTGTCTTCAAATACTGGAGGAAAAAAGTATCTAATTCTATTTATTTCTGATATATATTCTTAAGTGTTTTAGCTCAAACCGGAAGTGCATTTATCAAGTAAGATTAAAACTCAAATTACGTAAACAATATTGATCTTGCACGATATATCCCTCGGCTCAAACATTTATAAATGAATATCTGCCAGTTTTTTTTAAGCCAATAAGGGTCATGTAATAATGACATGTATCAAATCAAAACAAAAAGTGCTATCTACATAATTAAATAGCTTTTTTTATATATAGATATTGGCGGAGAAAGGGAAACAACCAATAGCATCTTCTCGGCCCTTTTCGCCGAACTTCGGATAAGGATTATTTAAAATCGCCGTGGTATTCCGAGTGAAAGGGTAATTGAAGCGGCAACTTTAGGCCTAACTGTGGTATCTCGTTTAATGACCGAATATCCCGATCTATGACGACTGCTACAAATGTTTGATTCCTTTCCAGTACATGTCCATATGACCGGAAATAATCAAATACCATGTTTCACTTTACCGTCAAAGGTGCTAGTCTCACTGATTTGAATTAAAATATGTTTAATTTGTTATTCATGTAATATAATATCCATATATTAAACAAATTTAAAATAGATTTTTATTTTAGATTTTTGTTATATTGTTATAGTATATAACAATAAAACAAAAATCTTTTTTTTTCTATTATTTTTTTCTTTCAATATAAACATGTATGTCAAATCAATGCGTCTTGCACCTTTGTGCATAATTCAAAAAGAAATTGTAAAACTAATATATTTGTTAAGAACCCTTTTTATACCAACGTTTGAACTCAATATGGATTGATTTAATCTTATGTGATAGCGACTTATTTATGGAAATTCTGATGTGACGTCACTTAAATTACTTCTTAATTATGCGTGACAGGGGTGTACGCGTGGCAGTAGGGGTGTATTTAAGAAAATGATATCGGTCTTAGCGGTGTTTATCGGCTATTTAACACCGGCTTGGAGTTTTGATGCGTAGGAATTGACCACGAAGGACGTAGGCCTGAGTGGTTAATGTTATTGCATCAAAACGACATTTTTGCCGTTTTATTGATACTTTAAAAGGCTTTGTAAACTATATAATCGAGGGAGAAAACATAACAGCCGTATATGATCATTTCCGGTCATATGTACCACTAAAAAGTTTGATTGCCTGCCAGAAAATTTTTGTTTCAGAGTTAACTATTACTTAAACGATTTGAATTTGAACATAGTATTTTTGTTAACTAAGAATAAATATTTTTAGATTTCAAATAGGGAATTCTAGAGCTGTTTGAACACACAGATCATTTGTATTCTATGTAATGTTGACTGAATTATTCTATGTTATGTTGATTGAATGATAATAAACCAATTTTTTTTTATTCCATACTGGTTTTACCGGAGGGTACTTTGGGCTCACCCTCCGTCAGTCAGTTCGTCCATCCGTCCCTCCATCAGTCCGTCCTTCCACAAAACTATTCTAAATATTAAATGAAACTTGAAGTATGAAAATAAAAAATCTATAAAAAAAACTGTTTACAACCAGGGATGTTTAAAGAATTACCTTCTCTCTGTCAGCCCGTCTGTTTGTCCGTCCCTAAAAACTGTTTCCTAAGAAACAACGGCTTGGCCCTGACGGGGTTTGGACCCACGCGGTCAGTAATCCTCAGCTTACTAGTCCGACGCCTTTACTACTTGGCCACGTCGCCACTCATGTTTATGTTTTATTGTCTAAATGTCAGAGAACAATTTTCTCTGTGCCTGTTTCTCAACATCACGTACGTAAAATGTACAATTGGAGACGGAATTCTAGTATATTTCAACGAACTACTGTTAGTTTTATCGAAAAAAGACACTGCTAGTAACTTTGTTCCTGAAAATGGCCATCCAATTTTTTGCTTCAGTTTCCGATTAACTGAATTTACACCCGAGTTACGCAATCAAGTTCACTACAACTTTCCGCATTTTTATTGTGTCCCGTTTAAAGCAGTCAAAATGCCGCCTGTAAAGATGCAAGATCTCTTATAATTGGCTTGACTATTTGAAAAATAAGGAGAGCTCTTTTACAAACCAAGGCGCCGTAGTCGATATAGGCTTAACACTTTGGTGAAGTATTTTTGTCTTAAAAATTACTGAAAGAAATGTGTTAAAACTTCACATACTTATTTGAGAGCATTGTAGGAGGTCACTATGAATCTAATGTGGATTTTTACAGAACTATGGCATCTACATTATATTGTTTTTCTGTCAATCATTGAGAATAGTCTAGCACGTTTTTCTTTCGAAGAATTTTTACTGAAAGTGTAAAATAAGCTACAATTCTCGAAAGAAATATGCGAGAATTAAAGTCAATCATTGCAACGCTATTCTCACGAGGATTTATGTTAAGCATAAGACAAATTCAACGTTGAATAGTGTTAAAAGTTTCTTAACGCGAAAATGTAAAATCTCTGAAGTTTATACTCGTAAAAATACTAAAAGGCGACACACCATTTTTAGAAAAGAAATCTTGCATGTCAATAGGTGTCATTTAACTGGCCCAAGTAAGACACGCGTATATATCAACTGCACTAGATCCACTTGGAAGGTAACAGATATCTAAAAGTGTCTTCTTACAGACGTTGAATAGCTCTGCTGTGGGTATAGTTGTATAATTATAATAGGTATGACAAAACGAGACGTACAAGCTGATCTTATCTCAGAAATCTGGCAAAAGATAAAGCATGTTTTTTGTTTGTTTTGTTTGTTTGTTTGTTGGTTTGTTAGTTGGTTGGTTGGTTGGTTTTTTAATTGATCTATTTGATATTTGAGAAAATTATTGTCAAGTGACTAGATATCTATACCTTATTCTTGAATAATGCACAAGCAACGTAATGTTATCTGAAATAAACTTATGTGATAATGATAATTATAATAGTGCATTGTGTCTTGTTCTTTTCAGGTCAATATTATAGAGTGCTAGTGCATGTAAAACACTTAAATTACAGGATAACATTTATTTCAACAAATGGATGAAATAAGCGATTTAGAAGATGTTCCTGAAGTTGAGCTTGGAGATATACGATTGTTACTTAGGCAAGAGGCTGAGAACAGGGTTGTTGAAGATGATGGCTATACGTTGTTCGGCTGTCTTGCGTTAAGTATAAAAAATCTGTTGTTACGAATACCAGCTCGAAACAAAAACAAAACGACTCAAGGATCTACCATTGAAGATTATACCAAACCAGATGTTATTAAGAAAGGTGTTGTTGATCTTCTATCAAAACACAAGAAGCAGTTCAAGTCGGTATTGACAATACTTGTCGACGATATTCCACCAGAAGCGCTACCAAATAGTCAATCCGAAAGCAAAGAAAGTGAAGCTGATTTGGAAACATTTTACCAAAGGGTTATCGAAGATTGTAAAAGTGATGAAAAATATAAACCTTATGCAAAGTTATGTATCTATGCAGCAGCAACTTGTGTAAATGCACCTATATACATCCTTTGTGTAAGTGAGGCAGGGGAAATGCAATGGACTTACTTCAAACCATTATTCAAATTCGAAGGTCAACCGGCAGCTGTAATCAAATACGTGACTATGTTCATATCTTCTGACAATACTTTCCATGGAATAGAATCACACGACCAATCTGCACCAAAACCAGTAGCAAGAGGTCTAGTTGGGATGTATATGTCGATTTTAGAAGGTACATGTAGTTTTCATTTACATGAAATTATAGCATTTCACTCACATTCACAGTATATTACATTTTGTATCATTCAACCCGTTATGAATTTAAAGCGACAGTTTTGGCACTGAACATACCCCTACTACTTGCTGCTTTGTTAATCTTGATGTTTTAACACATGCAGTCATTCTGAAAGCTTCATATTAAATTGTTGAGATTTATTAACATCTCTTAGGCATGTTTTTGTTATTTATTTTATAAAGACGTCCGGATAAATAAAATTGTTTAAATCTAAATGTTTATTTCAGACACACCAGAAACCATCATTGAGGTTCCAGACGAGCTTAGGGATTTATCAATAGCTTCTAAATCTAAGCTATGTTACAATCTCAACAACGACATGGTTTTAAGATGTTGGTAAGGTATAAACTTGCTTAATTTTAACAACTTAATTTATTATTACTAGTGCAAATTCATTCGTTATTAGATTTATTTGAGATGTCTTCCTTGCAATTAATTCCTATTTATTAACGCATCATTTTATTTTTTATACTTGGGTGGGCAATTAAGCTTATGGTTTGATCCGTTTGTATGAAAATTATTCAGAATTCAGAAGATTCCAAAAAAAAGTTATCAGTTCAATAACTATGCTTTCACCTTATACTTCAGTGAACTGCTACGGAAGAAAGGCCTTTTAAACGAAAATGATTACCGCAAGATGACAGCACATAGAGCCACGAGAATTGAATTTGCCATGTTTGTCACAAACTCACCAGATGCGTTTGACATTGTTTGTCAGGTAAAGTCTAAACTGACTTGATATCAAATGGGTCTAAGCGTTGAAAAGCTGGCTTTTGGCCTGATTCTGTGTACTAGATTGTTTCTGTATACAGTTCTGTAACAAGATTCTGTTTAGAAAGTTTCATTACCCCATGCTATTGTAAAAAGTGAAAATTTATTCAAAAAAGTATAGAATCTGCTTATTATGTTTATTTTAAGCTCTCAGTCCTATACTTTAACATCGGTCTTTTTAAAGCTTTGTTTTTAAACAATAAAGAGTAATAACATCAATAGTCATGAGGGACCAGAAAACATAACAACGCCGAGATGATGTCAGTTTTCTCAGCTTCAACGGTCTGAATATCAGCTGTTGTAGTATAAATATTCAGGAAAATGAGATATCTGGGGGAGCTATGAACAAAACCACACACATAAAAACGATGACAATCTCGATTGCAAACAGCTTAAAGCAAAACAATGTGAAACGCTTCGGTTGTAAAAAGGAAAAGAAATACATTGTATTTTATCAGAGCAACCCACGCCCAGAAATTTGCATCTAAAATATTGTTAAACTTTTATTACATTGAAAATAAAAAGATGATACGTGTAAATGTTTATTTCTATTTTATTTTGATTGAAAATTTTATTTCTAAGATAATTTCAAATAATACCATCCATACGAATAAAAATGATAAAAATAATAAGAATACTAAATATTAACTTCGATTTTACTTTCTTTTTTGCGTCTACCTTTGTCTGGAAATTTATTTCAGTAACTGCTAATTATATTACAGGTTCTGCTCAAACGCCGCGAGAAGACTATACTCAAAGAATACATGAATAACTGGAGCATCTTTGGTAAGTTTTAAATCATGTTTTGTCTGTAATGATACATATATCTATTTTTAAAGTCAGCTAAAATCGTAGTGCAGTAATATTTGCTAATACATAAACTTTCACTTTATAATTTACATATTGATAACAAAATTGTTTGAATCTGAAATTATATTACTGTGAAGTTTGAAGAATGTTTTGAACTGGGTAGATTCTTTGTGGTTTTCAGTAAACGGAACGTTACAAAATATTACGAATGTATCGTATATGTTCAAAGTAATAATCATATATTGTGTGTATGGAAAAGTACAAAGACCTAGCTTAATAATCAAAGTTAATAAATTATAACCATTTGTATGAGTTATATTTATTTTACCAAAATTATAAGTATTGTCAATATTGTAACTTAATGTCAAATAATGACTGTCTGACTATAGAATGTATATAAGAATTATACTTTCATCTATTGTAACAGAAACTGTGTTGGCAATTATAGTATGAAATATTGTCGTATATTTAATCTCTTTCCTACGCTAACGTAAATGATAGAAGTTCTTTATTACAGTTCGATCTTGTGGTTTCCTTGCAAAGTTTGATGCATTAATAGAGCTGGATATTGCAATTTATGAGAGAAATATTGCTGTGTCGGCTTTTGTGAATTCTTGCATAGCCGGAGGACAAGAGTTGGATGAAAGAAGAAGGAGAATAACAACAACAGTGATAGCAAGCTCGTCAGTCGGCATTGTATCTGGAGGTATGGTCATTGCAGGGATCATACTTGCCCCCTTTAGCTTTGGTGCATCGTTAGGTCTTAGTATCGCAGGAGGGGCTATTGGCGTGGGTTCCGGGGTTGCAGCAGGAACGGCAAGGACCGTTGAAGCTGTAAAACAGAACTCTAAACTAAATGACATCAAGGCGGAACAAGAAGAAATTAAGACAAAGGAACAAAGAGTAGCTTCAGCGCTTCAAAAAGTTGAAGAATATTTTAGAACTGAGATTGCAAATTCTAGCACAACGGACACTGAAGGTCCTGGATCAAGCATACGAGGTTTGCTTGCTATTGGTTCAGCTCTCCGAGCTGGTCATAGTATAGCAGGTATAGCTCTTGCAGCAGTTAGGTTAGGGACAACAGCCGCAGCTGTAACAGCATCTGTTCTTGGACCTTTATCCTTGGTATTTGATGTTGCATTTCTGGCAGAAGCAGCGCATAATAAACACACAGGTGATAAAACAAATGCTGGAGAAATGTTGCATGACATGGCTGAAACAGTTGATGTTAAGTGTAAAATATTTAACAGTATGCTCCGTGGAAATTGTGACGAACACAAACGATTATTTGAGTGGGCCTGAAACGATAGGAACATGAAGTTAATAAAATAAAATTATGTATAAAAGGCACATAATGGTTAGGCATAATATTTCTCTTTTTAAGTTGTGTTGTTTTGTTACTGGGTGCTTGCGTCTGCTTAAATGCATATTAATATTTCGCTGAGAGTAAACCTTCTATGAAAGATTTTTAGGAAAAGGATAAGTGTATTGGTATACATTTGTATCGGAGTATTTTTTTGTTTGTTTAAACTATTTGTTCAGTGTCATCTATAATAAAATACATTACGAATCATTTATTAGTTATACATTAAATGATATTATTGTATTCTAGACAATTACTTTCAGGATATCGAAGTTAAGTAAATTACGAAAACTGTAGTAAATAAAAAAAAATAGCAATTTTTTGGAGCTATCAAGTGTAGATTAACATGTCATGATCATAAATTATTTGACTGTCACAATTTACTTTCCTGAATCTGCTATAAAGGCCACAGATAAATGCGATCAAGTCAAGATTTTGTAAATGTAATATTTTATGCATCCTTTGTCAACTATGATCTAACTAGGCACTCCATTGCATTTCTCAATGCGTATTATTCAGGATTCGTTTCTATCTAATCATCATGATCATGCTGGCATTCGCCATTTATAATTTAATGTTTTGTGTAATTGAAAAGTGTAATTCACACACTATATTTGTGAGACGTTGTCACCACTGAAAATACAAGGATTTCGTGGATGCATTGATCACATATAAGTTGATTTGTTTTTTTCACGTCAGGTCAGTTTTACTTTCATCATTCAAGAAAGATAACATTGTGTTGTTGAAATGATTTAATCATATAATGGCATTGAAACAAAAGAGAATTTTTGAAAAGTGTGATTAAAAAAACTTGTTTACATGATCTAACATTAACTTTTGATTTATTTTAGTGAGCACACATGTTACTGTTTGTTATTATCTACTTAGTTATTACGATAGCGTATTAATTATTGTAATCTAACGCAGAACTGTTCATATCACATTGTTAATCTGAACAATGGGCAAGTGTACATCCTCAAATTTGTGTGAAACAAATGATGTCTCGAAAAACAATTAATTGAATTCAATACTATGATTTTATTAACAATGTTAATTGTTGGTTTTAATCAATAAACTTACAATTGTTTTGATAAAACAATATTTTTAGTTTGAAAGTCGTTACAGTTTTTGCAATGGAACGAAAATGATCTAAATCTAAGTAGTATATAGTAATTTAAGGTAGTATAGTAATTTAAGGTAGTAGACAAGTTTTTTATTCGCATACTTAACGCCTTTTAATTCGAAGAAAAGACTACAGATAAGGAAAGTTTGATTGCCTGTCAGAATTTTTTGTTTTAGAGTTAACTATTACTTGAACCATTTGAGGTTGAACATAAGATTTTTGTTAACTAAGACCAAATATTTTTAGATTTCAAATAGGGACTTCTAGAGCCATTTGATTGTATTCTGTTATGTTGACTGAATTATTCTTGTGATGTTGATTGAATGATAATAAACCAATTTATTTTGATTACTTTTAGTTCCCTATCGGGTTTACCGGAGGGTATTTTAGGCTCACCCTCCGTCCGTCTTTTCGTCCCTCCGTCCGTCCGTCCTTTCGAAACACTGGATTCCTTTTTAACGCAAAAAGTACTGAAAATATGTATTAACTAAATGAAACTTAAAAAATGAAAATTAAAAATCTATAAAACTGTTATATTCTGGTTACAAACAGGGATGTTCAAAGATTAACTTCTGTCTGTCAGTTTTTCTGTCTGTCCGTCCATAAAAAGTGTTTCCCGGGATCTCTTTTAAAAACTTGGATTTTTTTGTGCCCCCACTTTAGTGTTTACCCTTGTCCGTCCGTCCGTTCTCTTTTGTGTCGCACGTAACTAAATAAGTATTTGACCTAGAGTCATGAAACTTTACAGGAATGTTGATCAGTATGTGCAGTTGTGCACCTGGGTATTTTCGTGTGGATTTATTCAGTATTTTTAGAGTTATTGCCCTTGACTTAGTAAAAATTTGCAATTTTCAACTTGTGTCGTACGTAACTCAAAAAGTATTTGACCTAGAGTCATGAAACTTTACAGGAATGTTGATCAGTATGTGCAGTTGTGCACCTGGGTATTTTCGTGTGGATTTATTCAGTATTTTTAGATTTATTGCCCTTGACTGAGTAAAAATTTGCAATTTTTGAACTTGTGTCGCCAAAACTCAAAAAGTATTTGCCTAGAGTCATAAAACTTTACAGAAATGTTGATCAGCGTGTGTAGTTGTGCACCTGGGTATTTTCGTGTGGATTTATTCAGTATTTTTAGAGTTATTGCCCTTGACTTAGTAAAAATTTGCAATTTTCAACTTGTGTCGCACGTAACTCAAAAAGTATTTGACCTAGAGTCATGAAACTTTACAGGAATGTTGATCAGTATGTGCAGTTGTGCACCTGGGTATTTCGTGTGGATTTATTCAGTATTTTAGATTTATTGCCCTTGACTGAGTAAAAATTTGCAATTTTTGAACTTGTGTCGCCAAAACTCAAAAAGTATTTGCCTAGAGTCATAAAACTTTACAGAAATGTTGATCAGCGTGTGTAGTTGTGCACCTGGGTATTTTCGTGTGGATTTATTCAGTATTTTTAGAGTTATTGCCCTTGACTTAGTAAAAATTTGCAATTTTCAACTTGTGTCGCACGTAACTCAAAAAGTATTTGACCTAGAGTCATGAAACTTTACACGAATGTTGATCAGCAGGTGTAATTGTGCACCTTGATATATTTGTGGACACATTTCTAGTTTTTTAACAAATTTACATAAAATAGAGAAAAGTTGAAACATTAGTTATATTTATTCATCCTAAAAAAATTTGTCTATCTGTGGTATAAACATAATTTTATTATAAGGCAAGGAAAACACATTATTATGATACAGACAAACTTAGAACTCAAAATAATTAACTTCATTTATTTCTTCCACAATGACAAAATTATATGGCCATGCCCCTTAAGAATGTTTCTGTGGCTCTAACCGATAGAAATCTTTTGTATTGTATTTATTCATTTATTTTTTTATTATTTTTATTTTATTTATTTTTTTATATATTTTTTTTATTTATTTATTCATTTATATGTGGGGAAGATGGGGGTAGTGAATGTCTTGGTAATGTTTTAGTGAATACACATTTATTTTAGTTCAATTTTGTTGGAAGCTATAAGCGTGTTTAAACACTCTCGAATGCGTTCCTGGAACCAACCAGTATTAAGCAATGAATGGAATATTTCTGCCCAAGTCAAGGAAACAACGGCTTGGCCCTGACGAGGTTTGGACCCATGTGGTCAATAATCCTTAGATTACAAGTCCGACGCCATTACCACTCGGCCACGCCGCCTTTCATGTTTATGTTTTATTGTCTGAATGTCAGAAAATAATTTTCTCTGTGCCGGTTTCTCAACATCACATACGTAAAATGTACCAGTAGAGGCAGAATTCTAGCATATTTCAACGAACAACTGTTAATTTTGTTGGCAAAATAATCACTGCTAAAACAGACAGTAACTTTGTTCCTGAAAATGGCAATCTAATTTGTTTGCTTCCGTTTTCGAGAAACTGAATTTACACCCGAGTTGCGCAATCAAGTTCACTACAACTTTCCGTATGTGTATTGTGTTCTGTTTAAAGCAGTTAAAATGTCGCCTTTAAAGATGCAAGATCCCTTATAATTGGCTCGGCTATTTGAAGAATAAGGAGAGCTCTTTTCTTTTGCAAACCAAGGCGGCGTAGTCGGTGTAGGCGTCACACTTTAGTTAAGTATTTTTGTCTAAAATATTACTGAAAGAAATGCGTTAAACTTCACATACTTATTTGAGAGCATTGTAGGAGGTCACTATGAATCTAATGTGGATTTTTACAGAACAATGGCCCTTTTAGAACGTAAAAAGTCTACATTTTCTAGGCTCTTGTTTTATTGTCCATCACTGAGAATGGTCTAGCACGCTTCTCTTTCAAAGAATTTTTACTATAAGTCACTGGAAGTGTAAAATAAGCTATAATTCTCTCAAAAGAAATATGCAAGAATTAAAGTCAATCATCGCGAAGCTATTTTCACGAGGATTAATGTTAAACATAAGACAAATTCAACGTTGAATAGTGCTTAGAGTTTTTTTCTCGTGAAACATCTCGCTACATTATCTGAAGACTATACGCGTACAATACAAAAGGGCGACACAACATTTTTAGAAAAAAAGCTTGCATGTCAATAGGTGTCATTTAACTGGCTTAAGTAAGACACCGTATATTTCAACTGCACTAAATTCACGTGGGAGGTATCTAAAAGTGTCCTCTTACAGACGTTGAATAGCTCTGCTGTGGGTATAGTAGTATAATATGTAACAATAAGTATGACAATACAATACGCACAAGCTGATCTTATCTCAGAAATCTGGCAAAAGCTAGACACGTTTTCTTGCTTTTTTTTCTTCTTTTTTTTTGTTGTTCTTTTTTAGCTTTTTGATTGATCTAATTGATATTTGAGAACAATTTTGTCACGCAATTAGACAAATACGTTTTTAAATAATGCACACGCAACGTAATATTATCTGAAATAAACTTATTTGATAGTTATAATAATGCATTGTGTCTTCTTCATTTCAGGACTTTAAAGAGTAGCTAGTGCATGTAAAACACTTAAATTACAGGATAACATTTGTTTCAACAAATGGATGAAATAAGCGATTTAGAAGATGTTCCTGAAGTTGAGCTGGGAGATATACAGTTGTCACTTAGGCAAGAGGCTGAGAACAGGGTTGTTGAAGATGATGGCTACACGTTGTTCGGCTGTCTTGCATTAAATATAACAAATCTGTTGTTACGGATACCAGCTCGAAACAAAAACAAAACTACTCAAGGAACTAAAACTATTGAAGAGTATACCAAACCAGATGTTATTAAGAAAGGTGCTGTTGATCTTCTATCAAAACACAAGAAGCAGTTCAAGTCGGTATTGACAATACTTGTCGACGATAATACACCAGAAGCATTACCAAATAGTCAATCCGAAAGCAAAGAAAGTGAGGCTCATATGGAAACATTTTACCAAAGGGTTATCGAAGATTGTAAAAGTGATGAAAAATATAAACCTTATGCAAAGTTATGTATCTATGCAGCAGCAACTTGTATAAACACACCTATATACATCGCTAGTGTAAATGAGGCAGGGGAAATGCAATGGACTTACTTCAAACCATTATTCAAATTCGAAGGTCAACCGGAAGCTGTAATAAACTACGTGACTATGTTCATATCTTCTGACAATACTTTCCATGGAATAGAATCACACGATCAGTCTGCATTAGTACCAGTAGCAAGAGGTCTAGTGGGGATGTATATGTCGTTTTTAGAAGGTAGATTTCAATTACAACAGCATAGCTCTAACATGAACAGTATATAACATTTAATTTTTGCATCCAGTTACATATATGCATTAAAAGGGACAACTTTGGCAATGAGCACACATCTCTACAACTTGCTATTTTATTAATTTCGCTGTGTAACTGCATTCATTGTGTCGAGACCGCTTGCGCTGAGCTCGACTTAATAGTATAGTTGGGTGTATGTGCGTCCGGTCTATATTTTGCTCATTCTTTGAAGGTTGGTACAAATGTTCACCATGATGGGGCGGTATGTCACCCGCAAAACCCGCTCAAAGATCAAGGTCGCACTGGCCGGCTCGGCCCAAAACCCGTGTCTGGAGCGTAATTTCTACATGCGTTGCGAGATTTTAATATAACAAGGGACAAATATTCTCCATAGTGAGCGAAAAAATGCAGGTGTCTGTGGCGAAGGTCAATGTCTTACTTCAGGGTCAAAGGTCATATAACAATTGAAAACATTCATATATGAGTATAATTTCTATATATAGTGATGGATTTTACTATAACTACTTAGCACAAATATTCTCCATGGTGAGTTGAGTTATCTTGGGCAAAATGAAGGTTAAGATCACATAAGGTCAAAGTTCAAATGAAAATATCAAACTTTGGTTGTCAGCACTGTATCTTGCTTATGCGTTGAAGTATTAAGCTAAGTGGGTCAAATAAGACAAACATGATCAACAAGGAAGGGCGGCGTTCAATGAATGCAACCCCCAACGACCCAGCAACCCCAAAAAGACCCGCAACCTCCAAACGACTCTGCTTGCGATGACCTGAACATAGTTGTAAAAATGGCTGTTCAGTGTTTGCGTGTGCATGCATACATCCAAAAATATTTCCATGCCATTACTTCTTTGTGCATTGAGGAATTTTCAAATAACATGAATCGAGGTTTTTTAGACACAACTGTCCATCATGCAATGTTAAGATTTTTCCTCGGGTATAAAGAGGATGTGTTGCACACTACTCACCTATGTATACAGCTTTCATGATCTGGAGCTTATAGGTTCAGGTTTGAATTATGATGAGCAGACATGTCTTGTAATAAATACATATTAAAGTTTTGATATTTAATTACCACTGTATGGCATTCCTTTCTTATGATCCTTTTATAAAGACGTCCAAATAAAATTATCTAAATGCTTATTCCAGACACACCAGAAACCAGCATTGAGGTTCCAGACGAGCTTAGGAATTTACCAATAGCTTCTAAATATAGGCTATGTTACAATCTCAACAACGACATGGTTTTAAGATGTTGGTAAGGTATAAACTTGCTTATTCTTAACAGTTTTTAATTATTATTGATTACGCAATATTCCATTTTTATAATTGGGCAATTACGCTTATAGTTTAATCCATTAGTATTAAAATGATTCCTATCAGAATTCAGAAGACTTAAAACATTTAGTTCTAAAGTAAAATTATCAGTTCAATAAATATACTTTCACCTTATACTTCAGTGAACTGCTAAGGAATAAACGTCTTTTAACCGAAAATGATTACCGCAGGATGACAGCACATAGAGCCCCGAGACTTGAATTTGCCATGTTTGTCACAAACTCACCAGATGCGTTTGACATTGTGTGCCAGGTAACATCTATAATAGCTTATATCAAACGTGTCTTTGCGTTATTTAGCTGGCCTGTGGCGAGCTGTATGCCAGTTCAGTCACAAGTTTCATTACCCAATTCTATTGTGAAAAAAAACTTCATAATAAGAGAAAATTTATTCGACTGCAGTGCGAGTTTGCTAATAATTTTTTGAATTATTTCAAGCTATCATTCCATACTCTAACACCGGCCTTCTGTGCACGTTCGTTAACAATTATCATCAATAGCCATGAGGGTCCAGAAAACATAACAACACCGAGATGATATCAATTTTCACAATAACGCCGGTCTGAACATCAGCTCTTGTGTGTATAAGTATCTTGGAAAAGAAGATAGACAGAGAGCTATGAAAACAAACACATAATATTTAACGATGACAATAGCAAACAGCTTAAAAAACGACTATTGTGAAACGTTTCGTTTGTTAAAAGAAAAAAAAATATTCCGAAAGCAGAACACTCCCAGAAATTTGCATCTTAATTATGGTTAAAGTTACATTACATTAAAAACAAAAGATGACTGTTTATGTTTATTTTATTTTGCTTACAATTTTTATTTCTAGATAACTACATACGTAGCAGAATGATAAATAAAACAAATCGATTTTACTTTCTTTGTTTAACGTCTGTCGGGCCGTATGTCACATAACGTATATGTCACACCTGTGCCATATTGAATATGCCGAAAATGTGCCATATTTGGGTTGATTGAATTTTTCTATGTTCAATGCTCACCAAAACGTATTTGTCACCTACCAAAAGTGCACATAAAAATGAAAATACCAACGTATACGTCACATGTGTTGTTCATTTACTTAAATAAGCCCGTTTAACACAAAACTGTTTGCTTACAAACATTGATTTAAAAATTCACAATCCGAGCTATATTTGTTTTTTCAACAACATGCATGACAAGTTGGAAATTGCTGATTCTGACAAAGTGAAGGGTAATAACTCTGACATAAATGCGGGAAATCGACAAGCGAAACTTTATACCCTGACTAATATTCACGTAAAGTTTCATGACCCTAGCCCAAATACTGTTTGGACTACATGCGACACAAATATAAATTGCAAATGTGTACTAAGTGAAGGACACTAACTCTGGCATTACTGTGGAAATCGACAAGCTAGACCTCGTGTGGACAATTATATTCATGTTATGTTTCATGACCATGCCCCTAGGTCAAATACTGTTGAAGCTAAATGATTCACAAGTTGACAATTTCCGATTTGACTAAGGGCAGTAACTATGACATGAGTGCCCGAATCGACTAGCGAAACTCCAGGTGCACAATTACATAATGCTGACCAACATTCATGTAAAATTTCATGACCCTGACTAAATTATTTATGGAGCAACACTCAAGAAAGTTGAAAGTTTAAATCCCCCCACCCCTCAGAATGGGGGCATACAAAGTCGATATTTTATCTTCAAGTCAATAAATATTAAAGTCCAAAATATTTTGCATATATTTTCGTCCAAGCCAGTCACTGTGTATTGATACAGTAATCATCTTACTGGTAAAATAATAAGCAAGCGGTGTGGATTTAAACAAATATATAGCTGTACGATGACGATGATGATGTATCATTGATGATGATAATGTTGTTATTGTTGTTGTTGATGATGATGCTGATGATGATAATGATGATGAAGTAGATAGGTTAAAATGACGATGATAATGTATGTTGACTGTGTAAAATTTGTGACGTATACGGTCAGGCATTTACTACTAAATTGCAGAAACGTATGGCACATAAAACAACTGTGATTAATTCGGTCGAATATGTCCCACACGTGCGACATATACGTTTCGTGACATATACGGTCCGACATATGTCTACCTGTAATTGGAAGCTCTGTTTATACAGGTGCTGCTCATACGCCGCGAGAGGACTATTCTCAAGGAATATCTGAATAACTGGAACATCTTTGGTAAGTTTTAAAACATGCTTTGTCTGTAATAGGGAAACTATACATTTCAAAGTCAACTTAAATCGTTGTGCAGCAATATTTGCTGATACATTAACTTTCACTTTATAATTCACATATTGATAACATAGATGAAATCATTCTGAAATTATATTACTATAAACTGTGAAGAATGTTTTAAATAAGGTGGATTCTTTGTTATTTTCAGTAAACGAAACGTTAGAATATATATCAAATGTTAAATGTTCATAATAATAATATATTGTGTGTATGGGAAAGTACAGAGAACTAGTATAGTCCAATGAGTTATTAATTAAGTTGTTAAAATTATCACCATTTGTATGAATTTATTTATTTTACCACTATTAGTCTCGCTGATATTTCACTTAAGTTCAAATAATGCCTGTATGCTTTTTAGGATATTTGAATTATTCTTAGAATGGGACTCGTTTCATCTGCGTATATCACAAAATGTGAATGTATTTCAACGTATATCATGTTCTTGTTGGTTTTTTTTTTGGCAATTAATATACCGGTTATCAATCTCTTTCCTAAGCTAACGTGAATAACAGAAGTTCTTCATTACAGTCCGATCATGTGACTTCCTTGCAAAGGTTGATGCATTGATGGAGCTGGATATTGCAATTTATGAGAGAAATATCGCTGTATCAGCTTTTGTGAATTCTTGCATAGCCGGAGGACAAGAGTTGGATGAAAGAAGAAGGAGAATAACAACAACAGTGATTGCAAGCTCTTCAGTCGGCATTGTATCTGGAGGTATGGTCATTGCAGGGATCATACTTGCCCCATTTAGCTTTGGTGCATCGTTAGGTCTTAGTTATCGCAGGAGGGGCCATTGGCGTAGGTTCCGGGGTTGCAGCAGGGACTGCAAGGACGGTTGAAGCTGTAATCAGAACTCTAAACTGAATGACATCAAGGCGGAACAAGAAGAAATTAAATCAAAGGAACAAAGAGTAGCTTCAGCGCTTCAAAAAGTTGAAGAATATTTTAGAACAGAGATTGCAAATTCTAGCACGACGGACACCGAAGGTCCTGGATCAAGCATACGAGGTTTGCTTGCTATTGGTTCAGCTCTCCGAGCTGGTCATAGTATAGCAGGTATAGCTCTTGCAGCCGTTAGGTTAGGGACAACAGCCGCAGCTGTAACGGCATCTGTTCTTGGACCTTTATCTTTGGTATTTGATGTTGCATTTCTGGCAGAAGCAGCGCATAATAAACACACAGGTGATAAAACAAATGCTGGAGAAATGTTGCATGACATGGCTGAAACAGTTGATGTAAAGTGCAAAATATTTAACAGTATGCTCCGTGGAAATTGTGACGAACACAGACGATTATTTGAGTGGGCCTGAAACAATAGGTACATGATGTTAATAAAATAAAAGTATTAAAGAAAGGCACATACTGTTTAGGCATAATATTCTTCTGATCAAGTGTGTGTTGTTTTGTTACTATGTGTTTGCGTCTGCTTATATGCATATTAATTTTTCGCTGAGAGTAAAGGCAATTCAAACACTTTTAACATCAGAATCTTTATATAAAATATTTTAAGGCAAAAGGTAATTGTATTGATATATCGGAGTAGTTCTTTGTTTGTTTAAACTATTTGTGGGTCGTCTATAATAAAGTACATTAGAAATACAGTAAATAATATTATTTTATTTCAAAAAATTACTTTCGGGATATCACAGTAAAGTAAATTACGAAAACTGTACTGAATAAAAAATGGCAATTCTTTGGAACTATCAAGTGTTTATTAACATGTCATACTAACTTGTCTGACAAAATTAACTTTACTGAATCTGCTATTAAGGCCACTTCTGAATGCTATGCCGTCAAGTCAAGATTTTGTAAATGTAAATATTCGTCAAATATGATAGAATCTAACTAGACACTACGTTGCATTACATAAATTAAATATGTATTATTTAGAATTCGTTTCTATCTAATCATACCGGCATTCGCCATTTATAATTTATTTTTTGTGTTATTGAAAAGGTGTATTTTTTACTTTTGTTTACGTCACGTCAGTTTTATTTTCATTGTTCAGGAAAGATTACATTATTTCGTTGAAATGATTTAATCATATAATGGCATTGAAACGAAAGAGCATTTGTTTTGAAATGTGTGATTAAAAGAAACTGTTTACATGATCTAACATTAACTGTTGATTTTTTCTAGTGAGCACACATGTTACTGTGCACTTTCATTGAGCATAGAACAAACAAAAACACTTAATTGACTTATGATTATTATAAAAAATAAAGCACATTTAGAAAATAGAGTATTGTCTTCTGCATGAATATACGTTTACGATTATATACTTTCATGTAAAATATGTTTGGCGAAAATATGCAGAAAAGAATCAAGTCACAGGAACAGGCTCAGTTCATACGTGCTTTGTTATTGAGCAATGGTGTTTTGCATTGTTTTTCTGTCATTTCTCTATGTATTGTTTTAAAATTTAAGTTTTAATGTTTCATTATACATGTATTTTATTTTATTACATATATATTATATGAGAAGAAAAGCAAAAAACAATAGTTAACGGACTGAGACGTTTTGTGTCGCCTTGAAAAAGGGCGACATATAGAGGGTACTTTTGTCGGCGTCGTTGTCCGCGTCGGCGTCCCCTTAAGCTTGTCCGGAGCATAAAACAGTCATAATAAGTCGGATTGACTTCAAACTTGGTATGCATGCTTCTTATAATGACCTAAAGGGAAGTGCACAAGTACCGGTACTCTGCACTTCTTAAATTTTGAGTTATTGCCCTTTGTTAATTTTCATACTTTAATTTTTGTCCGGGCCATTTCTCTTTAAGTATATAAGCTATGGACTTGAAACCTCACAGGGTGATAGATCTCATGAAAAAAGTGCACTGCACAAGAACCGGTACTCTGCATTTCTTATTTTTTTACTTATTGCCCTTTGTTCATTTTCATACTTTATTTTTTTCCGGGCCATTTCTCCTAAAGTATAAAAGCTATGGACATGAAACTTCATAGGATGATAGATCTTATTAAGAAGTACAGTGCATAAGAACCAGTATTCTGCATTTTTTATTGTTTTAGTTTTTGCCCTTTGTTAATTTTCATACTTTATTTTTGCCCAGGCCATTTCTCCTAAAGTATCAAAGCTATGGACAAGAAACTTCATAGAATGATAGATCTCATTAAGAAGAAGTACAGTGCATATGAACTGGTACTCTGCATTTCTTATTTTTGAGTTATTGCCCTTTGTTATTTTTCGTACTTTTTGTCCAGGCCATTTCTCCAAAAGTATAAAAGCTATGGTCATTAAACTTCATAGAATGATAGATCTCATTAAGAAAAAGTGCAGTGTACAAGAACCGGTACTCAGCGCTTCTTATTTTTTAGTTATTACACTTTATTAATTTTCATACTTTATTTTTGTCCAGACCATATCTCATAAATTATAAAAGCTATGGACTAAAGGATGATAGATGTTATTGATTAGAATTGCAGTGCACAGAAGCTGTTGCTCTGCACTTTTTATTTTTTGAGTTATTGTCCTTTCTTAATTTTCATATTTCATTTTTGTCCTGGCCATCTCTCCTAAACTATATTGTTCACAAGGCGACACATCCGACTCGCGGAGTTCTAGTTGATGGATGGAACGGCTTCTTTACAACAATATTCCGTGGTGATGGAAATGTGATCTATGTGCCCTATGAAGAGTATCATGAGTGGCTTAATTTTTCTTGGAATAATGTCCGATAACTTAAAATAATGTGAATAAAAGTGAAATTAATTAGATACAAATAAGCATGAAAAATAAAGTACCTTTGGAATTTTTCTCATAAAAAAAAACAGCATTTATGACTGACAAATACACAAGTTCATGCGTTTTAGGGTGATTAAAAAACACCTGTGTGCTCTGAATGACAAACCAAGGGTTTGTTTTTGTCCCTGACACATATGAGCAACAAAATAAATGAAATGAGCACTTTATATACCCCTGACTAATATTTTGAACCATTCTTTGATGAAACATTTAGTTTATCACGATTGTCATATTTTTTAATTATACCTTATCTTTGTGGTTCTTATAGATTATATAAAAATGAGGATGAAGACTTCCATTAATGACGTTTCTTATACGACTTTTTATGTACCAATTTATAACTAAACAATATAAACAGCAAAAATGAAAGACAAAAATGCTATGTAGGCCTTGTAAGCATATTTCATGTTTTTGTGTGGCATATAGCGATTCATCTGTGTGTTTATAAGCGTGCATGCATGTGGCGTGTGTGTGTGTGTGTGTGTGTGTTGGTGCGTGTGTGCGTGCGTGCGTGTGAGCGTGTGTGCGTGTGTGCGTGTGTGTGTTACATGGATTATATAGTAAATTAAAAAAAATCTTCTATTAAAATACCACAAGTGGAAATAAGTCAAACAAAGAAGGGGTATTTCTTTTAAAAGACGATTGTTATATAAAAAATTTGAATAAAAAGGAGTTGATAATAGTTAAATTAATGCGAGTAGCACTTGTAGTTACAATAAGTGAAATAGCTTTTACCATGTGGAACATTGCCTAAATGGCGATAACATAATTGTTTTTATTTGATTTAGGAGTTTATTCTTCAAAACGACGACAAGAATTTTATACTTGGTGGCGATTTTAATACATCGCATTTCATACTTGGTGGCGATTTTAATACATCGTATTTTATACTTGGTGGCGATTTTAATACATTGCATCAACATAATTTAGGTTTCCAGCTTTACTGGTGGATGGAGACCTCAGGTGCATGTCTGTCACGAACGGGAACATAAGTAACTATTAATAGAAGAAAGTATTATAGACAAAGAAAAGAAACAATAAGGAGGAAAAATACTAACAACTATAAACAACGAACAAAACAATGAAAATAAATTGCATAAAGAAATTATGTAAAAAATTCAAGAACTTAAACAAATTTCGATTTTGAGAGCACGTGCTATTCACATTGAACAAAATAAAAAAGTAAAAACTTTTATATAATTTTTCCCAAAAACATGGTGTAAAAAGGTCGTACACAAGTCAAAAGTAAAAAAAAAATATCACAGAAGCAAAAGAAATATTTAAAGAAGAATATCATTTTTAAATACTTGTACAAATGCAGACACCCACATAATTTAAACATAAACGTCTTTAATACAAAATTAAATTAACATTTTATACAATGGGTCAAAATTATTTACACTGATATTTCAAGTATTATTGCAAATAACGATCGTTTCTCAGACCCTTTTACCATAAAAAGGTGTATTCGATACAGATGTCCTTTATCATCATCATTAATTTTTTATCGTTTGTGAAGAAATTTTAACCAATAACATAGAAAAAGATTTTAAAAATGCAATCTTCCTAAATGATGGTTCAGTTAAGTATTCCGAAAAAAACATGTTTAATATGCGATTACAGAATTAAGTAAAACTTCCGGTTTAAATCTAATTTTAAAACATCTTCAGTATTACGAGTTGGGTCTTTTAAGAATACTAAACTTTATTGTAAGATAGAGAAATCAAGTGGACATCTGATTCAGCCAAAAACATTAGGCATTTATTTTCGTAAGATAACAGTAAAGATACAAGCATTAATTTAGAAACCGAAGTTAAAGATTTTTTCAATTGCTTAAAGCAATGGCAACCACAGACAGTTTTAATATTCCGACGGGAAAAGAAATGGTGATAAAAAGTTTGGATTGCAAATTTAATATGACTCCTTTTTCAAGTATGAGCAATCCATCCCATAGAAAAATGGGAAAAAAAACTAATTGAAAGCATTTTTCATTTTTTGTTAAAATCATACGTTAAACTTCAATAATAGTGAGATGAAAATGACTTTTTTCTTTATGAAGTAAAAGCAAGCATGTGAACAGGTAAAATTAGGGTTCTTGGAAACTTTTCTAAGACAAAATAAAACAATAAAGAAGTGGTCTTATCTTTCAATGTTTTCTTTTAATAATTTATAATTCGTTCATGAATGACGGTTTTCGTCTTGGTTTCATATTCAGCATGATCGTAATAAAAGCAAAGAGAACGTTAAAGACATTATATGGAATAACTAAATTTCGATCATTAAAAGTGACAATCACTTAGTTTATTACTATAAGACGTGGCACGATAAATGCATACTTTATATAAAATAAAAAAAAAAGAATCCCTAAAGAAGGTCCAACACGGCACAATTGAAAATGTTGCAGGCTTGGTTTGATTGAGCCTGTTCATGGACGGTACTGTCAAGTGCAAACTACCGTCCACGCCCCCTAGCACCGGCTCAAGCAGAATTCAACATTTAACATGAACTGGTACAATTTTGAATTTTGAAACATCCGCAGATGTGTTAATACCGCGGTTATCAATGTGACATGTAAGTGCCATTCCATGAAAAGCGGAATATGGTCCCCAAGTAAAAAAATGTGTGTCACCTGAACGAGAAAACAATGGGGGAAACTAAATAAAATGGAATTTTGAAAGGGGATCACCGGTTATTAATCCAGCATATGACAGATAAAAAGAACAAAGATGAGAAATTCTAGTACAACGTACAGCGGAGGTCCCGGAAATAAGTAATCGTGGTTTTCTTTCAGTTCAGATCTGAGATTTTTCTCAACTCAGAAACTTGGTCTTTCTTCGAGTAAAAATTTCTGAGATAACAAACACTTCAATTAAATATTTCTTAATGTTTTGATGAGCTTTTTTTCTTGAAATGTGCATGCTAAGTTTCATCTCTTACCAAGTTATTCTATGATAATTTATCGAAGATTCTGTATTTACCATACAAAACTATTCAAAGTACTGATGCATGCTTAATCAATATTGCACGGAACAAGAGTTTTTGAGGCAAATTACAGTTGAAAATTCAGATTTAAAAACCATTGAATAAACAGTTAAAGAATTAACGATTTTATATAACAGTATTTAATATACACTATAACATTTCATCTTTATACAACAAGTTACTTACCACTTAACGTTTAAATTCATTTGGACAATATCAGGTTAAATTTGCGGCAAGGACTAACTTTGTCACTGGTGTCTTAGGCATCTTAAGTGGAAAAAATACATACATGTATATGCACGAATATTGATGATATAAGCATGGGATTTCTACCTTATGATTTTTTATCAAATCATTTGTTTTGTATATAAAGTTTTTATAAACACATTTAAAATGTCGGTATTACGTTCGTTTTTTTGTATAAAAAGACGTGGCAGCATTCATGTTTTTAATTGCTCGCCAAATTGTATGTTTTATATTAGCAAATCAACTAATCTAAACAGGTTATTCATATTTCAATATTTTCAATAAAGCGTCGATATTCGTGTCGCTATAATTCAAATTTTGTATTTGTGCCTTACACGAACTATAACACGGATAACTATTAATAGAAATAGGTTTTGCTATATGTATAATTGTTGATAACACTCAAACGTTATTTTTTTTGTTTAGTTTTGGGTTTTACGTCACGTCGACACAGTATAGGTCATATCAAGACGTTCCAGCTTTACTAGTGGAGGAAGACCTCAGGTGCCTTTCCGTGCATTATTTCAGGCACGAACGGGCACCTGAGTAAAACCACCGACGTTCCGTAAGCTAGCTGTATAGCTTCCTCACATGAAAGAATCCAAGGTCCCTGTCGGGATTCGAACCCAAAGCGGTGAAGGGCAAGTGATTTGAAGTCAACGACCTTAACCACTCGGCCACGGTTATTTTTAGTATTTTATTTAATTAGTAATTAATATAATTTTTTATATCTGAAAAAAGGCATTTAGGGCAAAACATATTAGAACAAGAACAATATACGAACTCCCTGAAGAACAGACAAAACGGCAAAATCAAAAATATTTCAGACCCGGTGTAAATGATCCTGTTTGTAAATGTAAGCTACTGTCCACGTCCCGGGCACCAGCTTAATATAACATTCATACTAACCGCTGTTTTTATGTGACACGTTCGTGCCATTTCTGGAAAAGCGACGTATGGTTCCCAAATAAAAGAATGAGTGTGTGCCATAAACGAGAAATCAATGGGCGAAACTGTATACAAAAAATCTGTAGATTTAATAAATACTAATTAAAATAAAAAGCAATATAGCGTGAGATTCATTAAACTTAATTAAATTAAAAAATAATGGAGCCACCCAACAAGAAAAGATGATCAAACGGAGGAAATTAAAAATGTCACAAACATAACAATAATATCATTCTTGTAGATTTAAGGATACGAAATATAACACCTCTAATTGAATGTACGTGGCGACTTTTTACAGCCTCCATAACAAAGCTGATGTGACAATGATATAGAAAAAAGAAACTTTGTTATCACGAGACAATTAGTGATTCAGTTATAATTTTTGTAGAACGTGATATGTGATCTAGATCTAAACGTAGAAATACACTTTACTTTATTTGCAATGCGCTTACATACGGGTTTAAGGTTGTATACGTGCTTGTATAAGAAATGATATCGGTCTCAGCGGTGCTTATCGGCTATTTAACACCGGTATTGAGTTTTGGTGCGTAGGAATTGACCTTGAATGAACAAAGAAAACTAGTTTAAATCAAATTGAAAATGAAACTGTCATTGGAAACAATGTAAATATACCTATTTTGTTTAGCCCCTTTCAGGAATGAAAGTAGAAAGTAGTAGAATATAGAACATGGACATGATACAAATTAAATTAATCTAAGCATGGGAAAACGCCGTATAACGAAATGAATTGAAATGTAAGGTGGCTGATTTGTGTCATGTCTTATTTTCGCCTCGAGGTAACCTGAAAAAAATTATGACAAAGTAACCATTTTGTCGTGTTTTCTTGCTTTCGCCTTGCGTCCCGCGTTGTTTCCGTGAGCAAAAAAATTTACAAATTTTACACTCATTGCTTAGTACTGGTTTCTTCCAGGAACGTCACGATATGGCCAGTTATGTGTTGACGTGCCGTTAAAATCCAAACAAAATCTTCCAGGAACGTAAACGAGCGTGGTTTAATAAGCTTCTTTCAACACAATCGAACTAAAATAAAGTAGTATAATCCTAAACAAATTGTAATACGTAATGAAAACAAACAATGATATTTCTACTTTCTATTGTTAGTAAATTTAATAAATTTTGATGTAGTCGAAATCGTTTTCATACAGGTTAACCTGTCATATAGTTTGTTCATTATCTACTCGTATTCTGCAAATAAGTCCCAACCTAAACAAGGGAATAAAAAGGGTCCCATGGAAATGAACGAATAAAAAAATCATCCGACAATGATGTTGTGTTTTGTAAAAGCAGCTATATAGTTATTTTTTCTTTAAATCATGATACACATCAAATTCTATATTTCTCCTTGTTTACATATTCAACACGAAACTCGGCTGTAGCGAATTCGTCGATACTTTTGTTCGCTATATCGTGGTTTCGTATAACAATTACAACACACAACCATTATTTAGCAAACATTTACTCCATAACGAACACAATAAGTAATTTTTTCTCGATGTATCGTATATCTGCATTAATAAACATTCAGGATGATTATCGTCAGAGTATTATGCGCATCAAAAAATAGACATCCGTTTGCGTTATCTTTAAAGAGATACACTTGTTTTTCATTTCACGGCCTGTCTATAATATATGTGGATTATGCATAAAATTAACATAAATTTGCGCTAGTACGGTCGCATGTTTTGCAAACATATACTTCTACAAAACAGAGGATTGTAAATAACGACAATTATCACATCAGATCGTTTTAAATAAAGTATCCTGATTTTCTTTAAATTCAGAAATCATATTATTTTAAATATACGGAAGTGTAAATGCTTCGAAACAAATGGCACAAAATTAAACGTTTAAAGGGCACAAATAACAAACAGAATATTAATGAGGTAAGATAAGTTAAATCTATCAGTAGAGATTTTTAAATTTACACATTGCATGTTATATAACTAAAGTACAATTTTCGAATTTTATTGATTGAGACAGAATTGCATATCTTATATGAAAAAAAAACGCATTATTTTTTAATGCATAATAGCTTATGCTGTTATAAGGAAGTCTTGTTTATTTGCTATCTTTTATACAATCGCAATAATCTTATAACATTATTAAAACTGTTTTTCAATTCACACTATATTGTAAATTTTTTATTAGCCAAATATCTGAACAATCTTTTCATTTGTTAGCTTTATGTAATAAGGCTAATTTAAGTAGTTTAGTATTTTTTATGAAAGTTAAACTGCTACTTTGTTGACATTTTTCTACTGTTATGAAAAAAGGTCAAAATTATCTTTCAAATGGTTATAAGCATCTAAATTGCTCTAAGACTTTTATTCAACATTATAAGAATACTCATGTTTGCATTTTCTACAGAAGTAAATATTATTTTGTTTCTGAGGTATAATGTGCATTTAAAAGAGATTCATATCGACAAAGAGGTGGACTAAACTTTCTTAAACTTTTCACGATTGCAAAAACACTTTAAGAAAACTAAATGGGAGTCACAATTAAATCATCAGTGTTGACCAAGTTTAAAGTTTTGGTTACATCTTAGATATGTGATTAATATACCAAATGGTACTTGTGACTTTTTCGTAAAGACTAACTGTTAAAATTATCTAGCTGCTATTTGGTGTTGCTGTTGCAGGAGAATGACTGGCTTTGATGTTATTCAATATGATAAAGGGTTTGGCAAATAAATTATAATCAAGGCAGGTCAGCACCGCCTGAGTTTTATGCAAAAATTGAATTATTCTCAGTTTTAAAACAAGCAAGTAGTGGTTTAGTTAACACTTTTTTTCTTTGCATCTTTTGTTATCCCAAATCCATATATGTTAACTCTGAGGAAGAGTCAACACAACAAACGTCTCTGATCATTATGAACACCCAAAACAAACACATCATTCATTGACCATTTATAAAAAAAAAACCTTACATACGAGGATTGATCAAAGAGTTAACGACCTGAATTACTTCCGGTAGTAAAAGAAACCAACTTATGGTCTTTTTTTAATATAATCGCCCTCTACATCATTGCACTTTGCCCACCTGTGCTCCAACTAGTTTAACCCTTCAAAATAGAACTCTTTATTTTGCTTCCTCAAAGAACTCATTGACCGCCTCCATGACATTTTCATTGCTTTCAAAATGTCTTCAACGAAGCTCGGTATTCAGTTCCGGAAACAGGTAGAAGTCAGAAGGGGCCAAATCCGGAGAATACGGGGGATGGGGGAGAATTTCAAAGCCACAGACTCAGTTGCAGCAGGCATCGCAATTTGGGATGTGTTAGCTGGCACATTGTCGTACAGTAGCAGAACGCCTTGAGTCAGTTTGCCCCTCCTTTTACGCACAATTTCTTGACGCAAACGTCTCATTTCGTCTGCAACATCTTACCTGCTGATAGTACCCTCTTGAATTTTTTCGAAGGGGATGAGCCAGGGTGCTTCCACTGCATGCTCTGTTTTTTGTATTCTGGATCAAAGTGATGGACCAACGTTTCATCCTGAGCTACGATCCGGTAGATAAAATCAAGTTCATCCTCGTAGCGAGACAAAATATATTTTCAAAAGCCACGCCTGATCCGTTTCTGGTCGTCAGTCAACTTTGTATGGGGACCCATCTAGCGGAAACCTTTGACATGCCATAGACATCAGTCAGAATTGCCTGAACTAAACAGAAGCTTAAACACGCTTCCCTAGCAATGCTTCGCAGGTCTCGCATTCTGTTGCACATGGCCAGATCGTGCACAGCTTCGGCAGTTTCATCGTTGGTGGCCTCTTTTGGCCGCCGAGGTCGCTCATCATCTCCAATGCTCTGCCTGTCCCACTTTAGGTCACCAACCAATTTTTTTTCACAGTGCTATTTGAAGGGGACTCCTTCCCAATTGTAAACATGAAATATTCATGGATTTCCTTGGGGGACATCCCTGTCTTACATAGGTACTTAATGACGGCTCTGATTTCAATTGTCTCCATTTGGTCTAAATGACACACCACTCTACTGATCAAAGTGTGTTTTATGTCACTCAATCTGTGTAAAACCGCGTGTAACTCACAGGTTCTCGTCCAGACTTGGTGCCCATATAAAAAAATTGAAGTTAAAAAAAATTGAAGTTAAAAAAAAAAAAAAAAAACGAAAACAACTATTTTGGTTTGAGTGTAAGAAAAAAAAATAGATTTTTTTCCTAAATACCATTACTACTCTTTACACATCGTGCATTTAGAAAATTGTTAACATTCTTCTTCTACCTTACATACAATCTTAAATAACCTACATTTAAACTCGGGCACTCCAACTTGTTAAAAGTTTGCAAAACAACAGTGATTATCGGCCATTTTATCGAAAACGAAAACAATCGGCCATTTTATCGAAAACGCAAGTACAAAACATACACCGTATTGTTCCGCTGTTCTGGTTTCCTACGACTACGTTCGCTAGTAACCAATAAATTGATAGTTACCGTTGTCTACTGTTCTGCGAACGTAGTCGTAGGAAACCAGGAGAGCGGAACAGTACGATGTACGATGTAGGTTTTGTACTTTTTGACGTTTTTGACAAAATGGCCGACCATCAACGGAATTTTGCAAGATTTTAACAAATTGAAGTGTCCGAGTTTAAATGTAAGTTATTTTAGATTGTATGTAAGGTAGAAGCAGAATGTTAACAATTTTCTAAATGTATGACGTGTAAAGAGTAGCAAAATAGCTTGTTTTGTTACAGAACTGGATATTGTGGTTGTTCCACAGCGTGTCCTAGTAAAGCTCCATAGCGTTACGGCGACTAGGTGACCTTTTCGTAGTAATGGTATAAAGGAAAAAAAATTCAGATTTTTTTTCATATACTCAACCCAGAATAGTTGTTTTGGTGCTTTTTTTTTTTTTTTAACTTCAATTTTTTTATATGTGCACCAAGACTGGACGAGCCCCTGTGGTGTAACTCAGTCAGTAATCTTCAATAAGATATCGGTATCGACGTATTTTGAGTAAATGTCAGTGTAGTTGCTAGAAGTATTTCGGGCCGAGAACTTTTTGATCATACCTCGTACGTCACTTATACGTAAAAATAATATATATCATTCTGGGAAGCCCAAGCTCTAAACATATTACGATCAAATAGGACAGAAAACTTGCCAAAAAATAACGAACACAAAATTGTTTTAAAACATTAAGATACGGTATAAACCACAACAATTCTACCAAAAAATATCAACTTAACAGCATCGAATCAACATCATAAAACAACCAAGACTCAGACAGAAAATATAAACAGATATCCTCAAAATCAAAGCATCAACTATGAAAATATTGGCAAGACAAAATCACTCAATATAACTTAGCCAATATATACCAAATATAGCAACCAAAAAAAACTTAACTCAACAATTAACCACATTATTTAAAATACAACCTATGAACCCAGATGATTTTAAAGCACCACAATTAAATTCAACCAAATTCAACAAAGCCGCAAAAATATTCTCTTCACTGAAACGAGAAACGCAACACACTCCAATTTCACCCTTAAATTAGTATAATTTACAACATTTTTTATCTTAACGATCTGACATTTACATGTCTAGAGAGTTTATACAAACTACAGGTAGCAACAGATTTAAAAATAGCTGTACATTGAAATATGATATTATTGCTACATGTGATATCGCTTTAGGGTTTAAAAAACAAACAAATCAACAGATAAAACCGTGTTATCATTCTGACATACTGCTTGACCTATATTACATTTTGGACTTGTTGTACTACCTAGACTTGCGGCACAATTTGGGCTTGTTTTACTTCTTAGACTTGTTGCATTATTTGGACTTGTCGCACAAGCCAGACTTGCTGCACAATTTGGATCTGTTGCACCACCTAGACTTGTTGCACAATTTGGACTTGTTGCACCACCTAGACTTGTTGCACAATTTGGACTTGTTGCACCACCTAGACTTGTTGCACAATTTGGACTTGTTGCACGACCTAGACTTGTTGCACAATTTGGACTTGTTGCACGACCTAGACTTGTTGCACAATTTGGACTTGTTGCACGACCTAGACTTGTTGCACAATTTGGACTTGTTGCACGACCTAGACTTGTTGCACAAATTGGACTTGCTCCACTACCAAGATTTGATGCACAATTTTAGTAAACTTTTTGCTCAATTTTAACTTGTTGTACTAGCTTGACTTGTTGCATAATTTGGACTTGTTGCACTACCTAGACTTGTTGCACAATTTTGACTTGCTTATCTATCTAGACTTGTTGCCAAATTTGGACTTGTTGCACTACCAAGATTTGATGCACAATTTTACTAAACTTTTTGCTCAATTTTAACTTGTTGTGCTTGAATTGTTGCATAATTTGGACTTTTTGCACTACCTAGACTTGTTGCACAATATTAACTTGCTGATCTACCTAGACTTGTTGCCAAATTTGGACTTGTTGCACTACCAAGATTTTTTGCACACATTGGACGTGTTGCACTACCTAGACCCGCAGAACAATTTTGACTTGCTGATCTACTTAGACGTGCTACACAATTTGGACTTGTTGTACTACCAATATTTGATGCACAATTTGACTAGACATTTTGCTAAATTTTGACTTTTACTAGCTAGACTTGTTGCATAATTTGGACTTGTTGTACTACCTAGACTTGTTGCACAATTTCTAACTTGCTTAATATCATAGACTTGTTGCCAAATTTGGACTTGTTGCACTACTTAGGCTTGCTGTACACTCTTGACTTGTGTTACTACTACGTAGACAACTGCTGAATTGTGACGTGTCGCACTACTGAGAATTTCTGTTCAATTTGCACTTATTGCACTTCCTGTTGCACAATTTGACTTGCTGATCTACATCGATTTGTTACATAATTTGGACTTGTTGCACTACCTTGACCTGTTGCACACTTTAAACTTGTTGCACTACCTAGACTTACTGCACACTTTAAACTTGTTGCACTACCTAGACTTGTTGCACAATTTGGACTTGTAACACTACCTAGACTTTGGCATAAATTGAACTTATTGCACAAGCTAGACTTGCTGCTCAATTTGGACTTTTTGCACTACTAAGGCTTGCTGCACAATCTTAAGACGTGTCACTACGTAGACTAGCTGCTCAATTTTGACGTGTTGCACTTCTCCGAATTGTTGTTCAATTATGACTTTTTGCACTTCCTGTTGCATAATTTGGCATTGCTGATCTACTTTGATTTGTTTCACTATTTGGACTTATTGCGCAACGTAGACTTGCTGCATAATTTGGACATGTTTCACTGCCTAGACTTGCTGCACAATTTGTACTTGTAGCACTGCATAGACTTGTTGCACAATTTGGACTTGTTGCACTGTCTAGACTTGTTGTTCAATTTTGACTTGCTGATCTATCTAGACTTGTTGCACAATTAGGACTTGTTGCACTACCTAGACTTGCTTCACAATTTGAACAAGTTGCACTACCTAGACTTCTTTCAAAATTTGGACATGTTGCACTACCCAGACTTGTTGCATAATTTGGACTTGTTGCACTACCTAGACTTGTTGCACAATGTGGACTTGTAACACTACCTAGACTTTGGCACAAATCGGACTTATTGCACAACCTAAACTTGCTGCTCAATTTGGACTTATTGCACTACTTAGGCTTGCTGCACAATCTTAACTTGTGTCACAATGAAGACTAGCTGCTCAATTTTGACGTGTTGCACTACTAAGAATTGCTGTTCAATTATGCCTTGTTGCTCTTCCTGTTGAATATTTTGGGCTTGCTGATCTACTTTGATTTGTTTAACGATTTGGACTTATTGCACAACATAGACTTGCTGCATAATTTGGACTTGTTGCACTGCCTAGACTTGCTGCACAATTTGGACTTGTTGCACTGCCCAGACTTTCTGCACAATTTGGACTTGTTGCACTGCATAGATTTGTTGCACAATTAGGACTTGTTGCATTGCCTATACTTGTTGTTCAATTTTGACTTGCTGATCTTTTAAGACTTGTTGCACAATAAGGACTTGTTGCACTACCTAGACTTGTCGCATAATTTGGCTTTGTTGCAATGCCTAGACTTGTTGCACAATTTTGTCTTGTTGCACTACCTAGACTTGTTGAATAATTTGGACTTGTTGCACTACCTAGACTTGTTGCACAATTAAGACTTGTTGCACTATATAGACTTTTTGCACAATTTGGACTTGTTGCACAACCTAAACTTGCTGCTCAATTTGGACTTGTTGCATTACGTGGGCTTGCTGTGCAATTTTGACATGTGTCACTATGTAGACTAGCTGCTCAAATATGATGTGTTGCACTACTAAGAATTGCTGTTAAATTTGGACTTGATGCACTTCCTGTTTCACAATTTGGACTTGCTGATCTACCTTAATTTGTTGCACAATTTTGACTTATCGCACAACGGAGACTTGCTGCACAATTTTGACTTGTTTCACCACCTAGACATGCTGCATAAATTGGACTTGTTGCACTATCAAGAATTGTTGCACAATTTTGACTTGCTGAACTACCTAGATTTGTTGCACAATTTGGACTTGTTTCACTTAGCAGACTTGCTGCTTTGGACTTAGAACACTACCTAGACTTGCTGCTCAATTTTGACTTGAGATAGTTCAGGTCTTGATGTAAATCATTGACTTGCTGTTGTATTAATGTTAGCTTTCTTATGCACGTGACGTCTATGAGTCCACTTTTTTAATCCAGGTATATAATTTATATGTATATTTATATATTTATAAATGAAATATTGACTACTATTGGTGAAAATAATGCATATTTGCATTTTCCGAATTTGCTCTATATTTCTTAATTTGCTCCGAAATTATTATCACCATTTCATCAAAATAATAGAGTTATTTGTAAATCATTTTACTCGTGGGAGTATTTACGTAGCTGCCTCAGATATAAGAAACAATAATAATACTGTAGTCTATGACACAGATAAAAACATACAAAAACACTTTAAGATAATGGAAGTACTGCTTTCATTTTTTTATAGGAATTTATTTTTTAATCAACAAAGCTAGGTTTATCTTGTAAAGTGTAAGTCGCCATGTATATGTATATCAATCTTGTACATCCATAAGAGCAAAACAGAAATAAAATATTATGCAAACTTTAATTTAATATTACTTAAGATTCTTTCATTTAACTTTATATTCACGGCTTCCATTACTTTGATATCTCGCTTATATAATCTTATATGTTATGCAACAGCATATATTATACAACAGTAAAATTATGGGTCATGGGTCAACTCCAAAATTAACGGTGCTAGGATATTGACGCTCCATGAACAGTCTAATAACAACAATCGAAATAAGCAGAAAAATTAAAAAGTGAGTCCAAAATGTCTCCATTGAATAGACTAATAAATATTGTGTCTATAAAAAGCCCTCAATATAAATTAAATATTACGATTATCGTATATCCACCTTTTAGAAAACATAAATGCGGTAATAATTAAAGAAATGGGGTCATTTGTCCAACAACATCTCATAATAATTTTTGCTTTGGGAATATTTGGATATAACTTAACAGCAGACCATTTGTTTTTTAAAGGTCATTCCAAATTTCCTTGAAATGAACGAGTGTTGTTCGAAAACTAATGTCATTGTCCTGTGTTTTCCTAAGTATTTGCAGCATTTTAAATTTCTCTGGCCCTCAAAATACTCCTCACCTACCTGAACACACCGTTTGAGTCGCTCAGTCCAACTTTGAAAGCAGACTTCATACTCTTAAATGTGGACACTCATTAAGTACTAATAAAAGCAGACCCGAGGGCATTTCTAGACCAGTCTTGTATCTCTTTCCAGACAGTTGGAATTTGAGTTTTGGAAACAAGAAAAAGTTATAAGGGGCCAAGCCTTTTTTGTTACATTTGGGATACATTTTGAGAACCTTTTTTTTGCATTTGCGACACGGGTTCTCTTTTGTATGTCTGTCAGCAAATGAGGTATCCATCTTGCAATCTTTTTCGAAGTTGAAGATGTTTATTTAAAATACCATGGACTCGTGCTAAAGACAAGTTTGTCAACCGTGCTAAATCCCCACAGTGTATCGGGCATTTTTGTTCAGCATATTCCAGATTTTTTCTATGTTGCTTTTCGTCATTGTTGTTACAGGACGACCTGGGCGATTAGCATCTTTGACTTGCAGCTGACCGGTTTAAAATTTAGCAACCTACCTACAAATAGATCTGTGAGACATTTCACCCACCCAATTAATGTCTCACACCAAACGGCTTTATGCCGAGTAATGCCCGACCTTTTATATAAGCCCTAATTTCAAGCAAATCTTTAGTTCTTCTTCCAGTCATTTCATGTATAGTGTAATGAAAACGCTATAAAGCAATGTACACTGTATCAATGGCAGTGAAATTGTGAACAAAAATTTCACCTGTGTAATGCTTCAGTGATTATTCTATCGGTCCGAAGAGGTTTATAGTACATAGCAAACGTTATTCACGAGATTATGCACAAATGAAATTATTTTTTGAATAGATCACATTTAAGAAATATTTTTAAAATCACAGATTACCCAAAGAAGTCTCATTCGTCACGCAATTGAACAGAAATGACGCAGAAAATCAACAATTTTTCCCAGATAATGTCTATTGCCACTTTCTCCAATTCATCAAATAACTGTTGCTCCAAAAGTTAGATTTACGAAATATATAAAAGTTCCCGGTACGCGTGGAATTCTTTTCTAGTAAGTATCATAGTCTGACATTAATTTGTCAAAGTCCCGTTTGACTTTTTATAGGGGATTGGCTTGAGAGAACAGGTGTTTTAATACTGTATAAACTGTGAAAATTGTTATCTTCAATAAACATACTTTAAAGGATATTTGTCACAATTGTCGTAAATCAACATTATCAAATGTTACCCATTCGGACTGGATTTAATAATTCAGACGAATTTTATTGATAAAATATTTACACAATTTGACTTCAGAGATTTAAACTCTCTTGTTTCGAATATTTACTCTAAATAAGTATCAACTATAAATTTAAACTGAAAGATATAAAAGTGTCATGTTTTAAAGAAATGATTCTCTTTTTGCCAATAACCATTTTTACGTTTTTACACAATATCAAATACATGTACGAAAAACGCAAAGTGTTATTTAATTCACAGCGTGACTGGTGTTCTTAGGGGCCGGGAAAAGATCGAGTTAATCACTGTTTTTTCATTTGGAAAATTATTAAAAAAGATATGTTATTATATTGTCTTATGATCTATTATTTATATAATATGTAAGTTTTAATCCATACCTTGCCTTGCAATAAACAAGGCTATAGATTTTATGAAGATAAGGACGTTTGATGTTATAATTTTTTAAGTTTAAGTGATCAACAATCAGTCCAGGGAACAGTGTCATCAAATCAAACAAATGAATACATTTTTAAGATATATGCATGAGTATTTTGTGTTTTAAGGCGGTGATTATCCATATGTCTAGACTAAATTTTATTTCAGCAATATGACAGATCAGACATTTCTTTAAGAAGAGAAAAGTGTTGATTAAGGTAAGACTTAATATCATCAATAATTGTTTATTTTATTACTTTCTAAAATTGATTAATCATTGCAATTCCGATCACCAAATGAAAGTGATTTTGTTGGATAACTATCTGTCTATCAATCAACTCAGTGCGGAAACTTTACATGTTAAAACAATTGCTACAAAGCAAGAGTCTAGCGACCGTTATGACATTACTCTATACAAAACAAACATAATTATCAAAATATTTTAAATACAAGAATGTTGTTATAACCGAATATCATGATTAGCAAATTATTCTGAGTGCATATGATTTAAAATGTTTATCGACATCGCGAAAATAGAAAAGTTTGAAAAATTCTGAAACTAACAAATTACATTTTAATATGTAAATATTATCCTAAATTTTTATAAAATGATAAAAAAATAGTTTCTAAGTTGTCACAAATTTATAATTATTTAATACATCATTTAAATCATGTTAATAAAAACAGAATATTTTGGTTGGTTTCATGTTATTTTGCCATGACTGAGGGCGCAATAATTTTCGCATTTTGCATAATGAGCAGTGGATGAGTGCAAAAAGACGTAAACAAGTGCTCAGAGGCTTTCAAGATGGCTGCTGGTGAGATGTTTCTTGCATATACACAATTTAAGATTAAGAATGATATAGAACAGGATAGATATAACTAAAAGAGCTCAACAAAGTATAAAATTTTAAAATAAATGTATAGAATAGCAAGAAAAATAGTCCAGTTATCTTGTCATAAACACTATAAAAATGACTTCATCTACCCACCTATGTAGTTGATGTTTAACTTGCAATTGACAGAATCAGAAAAGTTTCACGATGGTAAGATATAACAACAAAAACTAAAAGGAAAGAAAACAATGACTTATTTTGTTCTCACGTGTAATAATTTACAATATTCATTTGTCATTTGCATTGTTTCGTCGGATGTATCTGGTCAGTAAGCAATTTAAAGATAAATAAATAAGGGAAATGGTGATGTGTTTTCGCCATTTATGTATTCAAGAATCAGAAAATCGATGCCACACGATAACAGTTTCGATTATTTTGATATTTTTTGTCGTTATATACTATATGCATGTGTCTGAAATAAGCAAAAGAAACTGCAAGTAATGACTATCTTTATATCTATAGTGTCTACACAAGTTAATAATACATGTAGATATGTTATGTTGTATTGGTATATTTTATCGTTCTGTGAATTTTTCGATTGCAAAGAGTAAGTTAACATTTTTTTTCCATTTTCTTACAATGTCTCAAAATAATTTTAATAATTTTTGTAACATTATAACGACCACTTTTTAAACAAAAGCGTCGAATATCGAGTGTAATCATGAAAGATAAGGTAATAACATTTTGCATTGGTTAAGACACTGAATGAAGGATCTAGGAGTTGTTATTACTGCCATTAGGCACTTGCAGGCCATAGTTACTCACATACTAGTATACCACATATGTCCATAAACAAGCTCATTAGAACAAATTCGTCTACATTTGTATAGTTTTGACAGTTATCAAGGTTTTACTGTCAAATCAGCGAAGCGTGAGTTTTAAAATGGCTGTAAAAGAAAATTCGTAAATTCAATTTGTGATGTTATGTTCATATACTTGAAGATTAAATCATTATTGTTTGTGGCTCCAAAATTCTTTTTTGAAATTTTTGTTGTTGTTTTTTCACCATTAGAATATGTCAACTGCCTGTTTAAGTATTTTGACAATTTTCTTGCAAATCAGACAATATTATCTACCGTTAACACCGGTGCTAGAAAACCCTGTCTCACACCCCCATGTAAAACAAGCCGCATGCTTTAAGTGATATCATTTCCCCGGGGCTTTTGCGAATGAATTGTGTTCATTGGAGAGTTCATCATACAGAGGTTGCATGTACTTGGTTGAAATTTTGAGCTATACAAATGAGATTTTCTCGGTTTATTTTTCTGCTGTTAACAAGTTTAAAGAAACGTTAATCAAATATAAGTGTTTCAATTTTGTATAGTTACCATAAATAGTACAAATATATTTACTTTTTGCAAGTTTATGCTACACTAAGTTGCATTTATTATGCCCCCATTTCGAAGAAAAGGGGGTATATTGCTTTGCACTTGTCGGTCAGTCGGTCCAAATGGTTTCCGAGTGATAACTAAAGAACCCTTAGGCCTAGGAACTTCAAACTTGGTATGGTGATTGGTCATGACCAGTAGATGACCCCTATTGATTTTGGGGTCAAGGGGTCAAAGGTCAAGGTCACATTGACCTTGTAAGCAAAAACGGTTTCCGATCAATAACTAAAGAACCTTAAGGCCTAGGAACTTCAAACTTGGTATGGTGATTGGTCATGATCAGTAAATGACCCCTATTGATTTTGGGGTCAAGGGGTCAAAGGTCAAGGTCACATTGACCTCTTGGGTAAAAACGGTTTCCGAGTGATAACTAAAGAAGCCTTAGGCCTAGAAACTTCAAACTTGGTATGGTAATTGGTCATGACCAGTAAATGACCCCTATTGATTTTGGGGTCAAGGGATCAAAGGTCAAGGTCACATTGACCTTGTAAGCAAAAATGGTTTCCCATCAATAACTAAAGAACCTTAAGGCCTAGGAACTTCAAACTTGGTATGGTGATTGGTCATGATCAGTAGATGACCCCTATTGATTTTGGGGTCAAGGGGTCAAAGGTCAAGGTCACATTAACCTTGTAAACAAAAACAGTTTCCGATCAATAACTAAAGAACCTTAAGGCCTAGTAACTTCAAACTTGGTATGGTGATTGGTCATGACCAGTAGGTCCCCTATTGATTTTGGGGTCAAGGGGTCAAAGGTCAAGGTCACATTGACCTCTTTGGTAAAAACGGTTTCCGATCAATAACAAAAGAACCCTTTGGCCTAGGAACTTGAAACTTGGTATGGTGATTGGTTATGACCGATCAGATGACCCTATTGATTTTGGGTTAATGGGTCAAAGGTCAAGGTCACATTGTACTTGTAGGTAAAAAGGTTTCCGATCAATAACGAAAGAACCCTTAGGCCTAGGGACTTCAAACTTGATATGGTGATTGATCATGATCAGTAGATGACCCCTATTGATTTTGGGGTCAAGGGGTCATAGGTCAAGGTCACATTGACCTCTTAGGTAAAAACGGTTTCCGATCAATAACTAAAGAACCCTTAGGCCTAGGAACTTCAAACTTGGTATGGTGATTGGTTATGACCAGCAAATGACCCCTATTGATTTTGGAGTAAAGGGGTCAAAGGGCAAGGTCACATTGACCTTGAAGGTAAAAATGCTTTCCGATCAATAACTTAAGAACACTTAGGCCTAAGAACTTCAAACTTGGTATGGTGATTTGTCATGACCAGCAGATTACCCCTATTGATTTTGGGATCAAGGGGTCAAAGGTCAAGGTCATATTGACCTTGTAAGTAAAAACGGTTTCTGATCAATAACTAAAGAACGCTTCGGCTTAGGGAACTTCAAACTTGGCATGGTGATTGGTCATGACCAGCAGATGACCCGTATTGATTTTGGGGTCAAAGGTCAAGGTCACATTGACCTTGTATGTTAAAACGGTTTCCGATCAATAATTAAAGAACCCTTAGGCCTAGGAACTTCAAACTTGGCATGGTGATTGGTCATGACCAGCAGATGACCCCTATTGATTTTGGGGTCAAAGGTCAAGGTCAAATTGACCTTGTAGGTAAAAACGGTTTCTGATCAATTAACTAAAAAGGCTTAGGCCTAGGAACTTCAAACTTTGTATGATGATTGGTCTTGACCAGCAGATGACCCCTATTACGTTTTGGGTCAAGGGGTCAAAGGTCAAGGTCATGACCAGTAGATACTTGATAACCCTTATTAATTGTTTGATCAATGGGTCAGAAGTCATGCATAATAACCTTATCACATGACTAATTGGCTGCTGATAGGGGGCATACATGTTTTACAAACATATCTTGTTTTGATTCAAAATTGAAATCTAACCTTTTGAATGACTTCTTTAGCGACGAATGACTACAGAAGATTATGCAATTTTATGCATTTATTTAAAAGAATCGTCATATTCTAAAATGTTTTGTTGAGATTATCATTCTTTGAGGTCAGCAAAACATTGCGATGAGACATCAAGCATGGTACATCATTATTAAAGTCATATATCTGCTAATGAATTAATTTTATCACTGAATCCGTTAATGTATTCACGTGATCCACATTATCTAAGTTATACGCAACAATTTTTAATTAATTCATAGACAATTCTGAAAAATTTTGTAATATGTTTGCGTGTATTATTACGCGGTATTTTTTATATATTTTAATGTAATGAAATATTTAACAGGCAAAAAACTCACTGAACTTAATCACAATTTTCTCGCTTTTATCATTCTAAAATTAATATATTGTTACAACAGTTGCTACTTGTAAAGGTGCATAATGACAGTCTTTCCTGAGAGAACAATGGGGCATTGTATGAATAAATTCATCTTTGTCCGAGAGTCTCAGTGTTAGCTGGACTAACGTGAATTTGACAATTGCCGCCCAGCGGCCACGGCTTTTCTAAAGGAAGCAAGGCTCTGTACCAAAACATGAAATATAATCAGTTCAATGAAAACAAACGCTTTCTTTAGTTTTTGACGTTTCTAGCGTTTTTTTTTTCATTTAAAATTTACTGAACATGGGAGGTTTGTTGCTATAACATCAGTTTGAAGGTCGCAATATAACATTTTTTTTTCTGCAAAAATCGATTATAAATATAAACAAGGGCCTACGCCGGGCGAGGGCAACGCTCGACTTGTTACTTATTCTAAAAGCAAACAAAGAAACGTTTGAACAAATCTTAACGTTTCCGTTTTATATTTTTAATATGTCTGTCTTGCCACATTAGTTTTGTCAAAGTATGAATCCTTTCTATATATATCCACATGTGTTTTACAGAAGAAGAAAAAAAAGGATACTAATATACTAAAAAATAACTGACATTAACTAGATTTTCTCAATTTAAGGTAGTACACCCCTAATGCACTATCTCTACTTTGAAGAGTAATTAAATAGGCTAGAATCACTGTAAAGTGTATTGAAACTGAGGGGCGTTGGTTCGAACCCCAGGAGGGGCAAATTTTTTTCTTCCGTTTTTTTTCTTTTTAACATTTTTTGTTAATCTCTCAGATCCTTAATGTAAGAATAAAGTGTTTCTTTTTAATTATATAATTATTGTAGGTATTTATTTACTAAATAATGCCAAATTTAATAGCAAATATGATACCAGATATTTTCAAAGTTTAGTTTTCAAAGAAGAAGATGTTTAAATGTTTTTTCTATTTTTAGCTCTAGAGACCCCTAAAACGGGTCAATCAAATTAATATGAGCAAACTTGATAAAAGACTTCCTTAGAAAGCTGCAGACAAAGGTGATCATCCATCAATTAGTTCTGTAGAGTTAGACGTTTAAAGGTTTTTTTCTATTTTTAGCTCAAGATTTTTATCTTAAGCGGCCCCTTAAAGGGGCCATTCAAATAATTATGAGCAAACTTGATACAAGACTACCAATGAATGCTACAGACAAAGTTGGTGACCATCCATCTATTAGTTCTGTAGTATTAGAC